AAAGGAAAGGAAAGGAAAGGAAAGGAAAGGAAAGGAAAGGAAAGGAAGGAAGGAAGGAAGGAAGGAAGGAAGGAAGAAAGAAAGAAAGAAAGAAAGAAAGAAAGAGAGAAGAAAGAGGGAGGGAGGGAGAAAGAGAAATGACTTTGTTGTCAGTGAAGGTGGTACATAAGTAAGATTAGTACGGTGGATATCTTCAGCCACTAAAACCCTTTTTATTCTCAAAGGCAGTAATATAACAAAAGGCTCGAGTTATAAACTATTTGGGGGAGAGACATACACAAACTGGACCTAAATAACAGACACGGTGTAGAGAACACAGGAGCCTAGAGTTTGCCTACTAACTTTTGATTAGCATGCCCAATCCGTAGTACACAGTGGTTATGGGAACAGGACTCGGCATGTATAATATTTAACTAGGATGACAGGTAACATGGGTGATCAGTGCAAAGGCCCTAACAGAATGATGGGGCTAGAGAGATGGCTTAGTGCGTAAGATGCGTTGGTCATGCAAGCCTGAGGACCTTTAGTGAGTATGTAGATGGAAAATGTCTGCACCCCAGTGATGCGGAGAAGTTGGAGATACAAATGGACCCTTGAATCCTGCGGGCCAGCCAGGCTAGCGATCTGAGAGTTCCAGGTTCAAGGCAAGATCCTGCCTCAAAAATAAGATGGATACCAACAGAAGAAGATAGCTGATGTCCATCTCTGGCCTACACGTACACACACCACACACACAAAAGTTTAAAACAGGGTTATAAAGTTGTTTGCAATGGGAAACAGCAAATAAATCAAACTAATATTGTATTTTAAAAAGTTTTATTCTTGCAGATTTAGAAATTTGAGATTTTTAATAACCACAAAAGAAATCCTTTCACACCTAGTGATTAACAGAATGTAGTGGTGTATTATCTAAACAGGAATCGTGCTGATGTGCCATAATAAACTGTCTATTAGTAAAAAAATACACTTTAGGGCACGGTATTGTATCACAAATTTTACAGAAGGGATACTTTGCAAGAATTTAATCAAACTAGAGTAACTGTATCTTTTAAATGCAGCACTTAAAAATGTAACAACTCTGTGCATTCTTTTTCTTAAAAAAATGACCTTGTATGTGTAGAAATGCTGCTTTATTGCTGCAGAGGTCAAAGTTCAAGGCTCAAGAGGTACAGGAGAGAATACAAAGGTAGCCTTAGAAACTTGGTTCTGTTTATGTATAAAAAGGTAAAGTTTATAAAAGTTAATTTACAAACCAAGAACAAAAGTGGTATGCACGCATTATGTACATGCGTCCTGAAAACATCAAACACCTCAGATGCATAGCCCAAAAACAGAAGACCACCACTCCCCCTTGTCAAAAAAAAAAAAATTTTAAGTCACACCATTATTTTCTTCCGGGTGATTCACACATTTCTGAAACCATCAAGTCCACAATTTACTCAGTCTTTTCCATGATACAGTATCTAGATATGCACAAAACTCATAAAAACTTAGTAATACACAGCGAAATGATCTAAGAATTAAAACCATGAGGGTAAGGCATTCCTGCTGGTTAGATGTCTGTGGTGATATGTTAATTTATAGAGTCAGAGGCCATGGAACCAGGCTCACATGCTTTGGTGTCCTTCCCTAAGAGAAATGTGTTTTCATATACAATGAGTAATTGTCTTCATTTGACCCTCCCTCCCCAAGTTATAAATCCCCCTGCTGTACATTTCTGTTAAATCCACTACACTGGTTATATATTCCAGGTGCATTTGTAAAAAATGTGTGCACATTACCTCATGCATAATAAAATAAAATGTATATGCTAGGCCAAGGCCATAATAAAGTTTGAGTGTACTTTGGAAAGAACAGAACTCAAATGCACCCCCATTTACTGGCTGGTATTTTTAACGGAAATCAGTATGTGAAGTTAAGCAGTGACCATAAAAAAGTACAAAAATCATTATAAAGCAAAATATCTTTGAACCTCTAGCCAATGCCTGACAGTTCTTCACTCAATAACACATAGCTTGTAGCATGTTTTCTGACCGTGGTTCAGGGGCATGCTCACTAACCTTCATCAGTTCCAACAAACGCTTAATACTACGAATTGCAGTATCAATTCTAAGAAAATAGAATACTCATTAGAGTGGTTCCTCCATTTAGATTTAGTAAGCTCAGTCCATGTTCACACTGCTTAGTCCAGTTCCTATACGCTAACAATTAGAAGTGGTCAATCAGGACAGACACACAGTTGGCTCCAACAAGGTAATTCGGATCTCCAGGAAGACACTTGTTTTGCCAGGTTTTAGGGTCACCTATGAGAGAAAAAAGATCTTGATGTCACTTATGGTTGTGTAGACTGCTACCTATAATGTTTTGCTATTATGGAACAAATATAAATATACATATTAAAATTTTCTTCTATTTCTTCAAATGTTATATCCAAATTTAGTGCTTTAAGTAGGCTTGCTGGCTACGAGCATTTGAAAGCTATTTTAGATGTCCCTTTTGTTATCCAATTTGTTGGCCTTTTTAATATAGAAATAAAAGTTAAGACTCGGACAATCACATGGCTGAGCCAGTTGGGAGTTGCTCCTCAGTGTACACAACTGTAACACCTTCCCTTGGATAGTACTGGATGGTAACGTATTTGAGCCAAATGTGAGAACACACTGCTCACACTCAGTGACTCAACACAAAGGATATTCTGCCAAGTTCTGTAGCACACACTTCCTAAAGTCTCCTCCCATTATCAAGGCAAACCAGCAAGACAGCACCAATCCCTTCCCCACTTCTAGCTGTGCAATAAAACCGTTTGTGGCATTTGTGGGAATTCAAACACCCGCTGGCTATGGAGCTCTGAGATAGGCCTTGGTGTTTGAGTTTTGAAGAAACCCTTGGTGTTTTCAGATTTATATCCTGCACAAAGACCTGGCAGTGGGTATAAAATGTGAACAATGGAAAACTGTCTCTGTGGAAGCCAGGGGAGTTGAGAATCAAAGCTGCTGACTGTCCCCCTCCCCCCCCCTTCTAACAGTCCTAGGCCAGGAGTGCTTCTGTGCCTGTGAGACTGTGTGAAGAACCTTCTGCCACAAACAACAGCCATGCAACTGAGCAGAGAAGCTACTAGGCCTCTTGTGATATACCAGGCAGCCCCTCTAACAAATGACTGACTATCAACTGTCCCAGCTGTGGACTCTGTGTACTGCAGGAGATGCGTCACGGCTGAGGATGGATCCTATGCTTTAATAAGGAGTCACTGACAGAACGGTTCAGACAGCTCTAGAAATCAAAGGCATCCTCCTCCTTATCATGCTTTAAGTTTCCTTTCAACATACAGCATTTTGCTGCAATTAAGTCAGTACTCACCAACATGACACCTACTGAACAGGTAGGCTAGCAGTGGCAACGCTGCTTTACTGGATCACACAGAGGTGTAGCTATTTTCTGGGTGAACACACCTCAATGCTCACAGAAAGTATGTGGTCTCAGCACAACTCAACAGACACCCATAATCACTGAAGGGACAAACGTGTAGCTCATCTGTGTGTCATGTAAGGCACTTGCAGCAGGCAGTTTAGAGAAAGCTGGCCTTGAGTTTTGAAACTACAGCATTCTCTGGCTTCTCAACGCCCATTTTCAATACTGCTTAACTGTTCCTTCACTATTTAAAATTAGCCTACAAGGCTTTCTTCCAAAGGAATATTTAAATATGACCCTATTGTAAACTTTGTACTGTAACCTTTACTTCATACTGGACCAAACTTAAACTTACTAATACTCACTGATTTATACTATTTTTGTTCTTCTATGAATCCTGTTAGGGTGGACAATATTGGTAGTAAAGACTGACTTCTAAGTTACTCAACTGAGAAACATGAGAATGCAATGCAAGCTTTGAAATCATGAGCCAATGAGCAAAAGTCACTTAAAAGAGTGCATAACAGGAGTTACTTAGAGGTTCAGGCTAGAAAAAAACCAAACCCCTGGCCAGGTACCATCACTGTGGAAACTTTCTCCAAGGTTAGTATAAATACTTTGCACCTTAAAAAAAAAAAAAACTGATAGATTATATAAAATTTTTAAGCCCCAAGAACAGTCAATCTTTAGCCAAATTGCCAATTATTAAAAGGTAGAAAAGTCTCCAGGGTTCCATATGCATTTATAGCATATGAACCACACACTTAAACTACTAGTAATGCTTACACGGCCACAGGGACAGAGGGAAGATCTGTTCACACACAGCATGGGAAGCACCAAGAGCACAGGCATTAATCAATGACAGTTCCCACAGCCCCAGAGAGAGTGAAGACAGCATACCCGACGAGGAGTCGGATGATTTTAGAGCAAAAGACCAACCGTCAGGAGTCATGGACGCACAGTGTGGCAGGCGCAGCTCCACGGGCTTCAGGAACTTGAGGCCATGGGGCCCACACATCACTAGGGGGCTCAGCAGAGTCTCACCTGCAGGCACAGAGGGAAAGGAGCACCTGAGATGAAGTCTTCCCACTAGACCCAGTCCCTCCTGGTACAAACTTGCTAAAGTCAAACGACAGTAGTTCTCCATAGCAGTGCTAAGAAAAATACAGTGGATGCTACAATAGTAACTTCTAAGCTTTTAATAGTTGTGTTAGGGTGAAGAGGAATGTGATATTCATTTTAATATTTTAACCTAACTTAATGTGGCTGAAACAATAGTTCAACATATAACCAACACACTCCGGCTCTGATGTCCCCTATGTTACATCTCTAGTGCTATAAAACCCCATTTAACCAGGGGCTATTGAATTCCAGCATATGAATCTGTAGCACAACACATTCACATGTACTTGTTTGCAAATGTTACATATATTCCTGGGGGTGGGGAGGTTATTTGGTATGTGTGTACATGTGCATGCACATGCACATGACAAGCTGTGCTAGTAAAGGTCAAAATTCAACTTGCAGGAAATCAGTTTTCTCCTTTGATTATATGGGCCCCAGGAATCAAATTCTTATCTCTAAGGTTGGTAGCAAGCACCTTTGCCCACTGAGCCATCTTGCTAGCCTATGCTTTTCATTTTTAAGTGTTTGCTATATATATATGTGTTCAGGTACTCAAGCAGGGCCAACAGTATGAGTCTTATTGTTTTTAAGGCAGAGTACCTCTAGAAAGTGGGTTACTATACCATGTTTAGTGAAGTCAAGAACTGCTAAATTTACCAGCATGCTGATGGATCCAGGAAGGTTATGAAAATAACAGCCTGCCTGGTTTCCTTACTGTTCAAATATATGCTCCCCACCTTCTAAGGACATGCCACTCACTGTGCTGAGCATTCAACAGTATTGCCTCCTGAGGTAATAGCTGACAGGAAGGGAAAGCCTTCTTGAGTGGATGATACCAACTATCTTCTTGAGATGGAAGGACTACCAAATTTGATTAGGTCAGGCAAACAGCCCGGCAGTCCAGTGAGAGGACTGCCAATGGCCTGTTATCTGACATCATTTCCTCCTCACTCCGAGAGGGAAGTACTGTTCCTCCACTGTGCCCCACCCACCACAAGCCAGTGACACGACTTCTCTGCAGCAGGCTCATTTGAGGCCCTCCGTTGTACAAAGAAAATGCTGTGCTCTACCTAAAACATTCAGAGAGGCTTCTAGCTTATCCCTGTGGCCAGCTGCTGTAAACATGTACACTCAGGAAAATGCTGGAGTTATTCCAGTAAAGCAGACAATAAGCACACTTACCTTTCTCTTTATCTAAAGGTGGGAGGATGCTATTATCTCTGCAGACTTTAAAATAGATTTCTTGCTCGACTCCTTCAGGAATGGCTCCTTGTGGGATGATTATACTAACACCAGTCTCTATGGAACTCAACACACCACCATTGCTGTTAAAGATGCCTCGGGCTGTAGCCACTACAGTATGACCATCCTCATCTTCATCTTCTTCCACAGCTGAAGGACTGAGGGGTCAAAATGGCAAGTGAAAATCCTAATAATACACACAGGCTTCCTTTTATTAGTTACAGTAAACATTTAACCTCATTTCTCCAAACAATTTAGAATTCTTTACTCAAACAAGGTAAGTTTTTAGTGAAAGGTCTTACTCAGAGGGCTAAGAGCATGCCCATTCTGGAAAAATCAAAACTCCCTTTCTGAAAGTAAAGAATGAGGCTACTATAATTACCAGTGTAATTTCAATGAATCAAACATGATTCTTTGGTCTCACAGCTACCTTGGGTCTTAGTGAACATCCATGAAATGAGTGCTCTAAATTACAGAGTCACTGAAGCTCAGTTGGTAACACAGAAAACAGCTTATAATAAAGACTGTGGTAGACTTTGGAATTTCAGTGTGCACATACACACTGCCCTTCCTTAGTACATCTTGAATCCCACTGCCCAGGCTGACAAAGGTTTAAAGCCTCCAAGGTTCCAAGGTAAGAAGGTCTGGCATGGTATACCTCAAAGACCCAAGAAAGACAAAGGCAGAGGATGAAGCTATCAACGAACATTTCAAACTTGGAAGTTAGACAATCAAGACTTTGTGAAGTAAAGTTTTAAGCCACAATTTTAATGTGCTAGAAAAGATGGACTAGGGCTGGAGAGATGGCTCAGTGGTTAAGAACACTGACTGTTCTTCCAAAGGTCCTGAGTTCAATTCCCAGCAACCACATGGTGGCTCACAACCATCTGTAATGGAATCTGAAGCCCTCTTCTGGCATACCTGAAGACAGCAACAGTGTACTCACATATATAAAATAAATCTTTAGAAAGAAAGAAAGGGGGGGGGGGAGAGGGAGAGGGGAGGGAGGAAGGAAAAGAAAGGAAACAACTTGAAATATATGAAGGGAAGTCAGTTTCTCTCCACCATGACTGCAGGGTCAGGCATAGACTCCTGAAGCAAATGGAAAGGGAACAGAGCCCACCATCTGATGTGGTAACATCATGTAGCCCTGCACAGGAGGAATCCTGCTACTGACTGACTACAGGAAGGCAGACTTGCATAACCATCTTGAGAAGCAGAGTTCAGGTGGCCTTTCTGGTCCTTGTTTCTACCTGTGGGCGGTTCTCCTTCATGGATGACTTGCAAATGTCTAAAAGGGGCTGAGCTGAGTCGGAAATATGTGGTCAGATGGCTCTGATCAATCACTAAGTAACAAACACAGAAAAAACTGCCTGAGTGAGGCTGTGGTAGAATCAACCAGCCATCTTACTACTGTCTTCAATAGCCATTCGAGGTCACTACACTTCTATTCTTTCCTGCACCCTAGTTGACTAAATTGTAAATGAGGAAGAGATTATCTGTCCATCATACTTCAAGTCACAGTTTACTAAAGATATGGGCTCTAAGATCAGATGACCACAGGCTTATCACCCTCTAGCTATGTGATACTGGCTGGGCCAATGAGCTTTTGCTCCTTAATCTGAGCTATTGGTGACACAAGGACAATGACAATACTTACTGATGCTATGTGCTCATAAGCTTTACAATTTGATTAATATCTTTGCCTCCTGGAGGACATTCTACAAAATGGTATCCACTATAATAACAGTTTAGTTTACAGGATAATTTATCATTTCAAGTCTTATCATATAAAGTACTTCAAAAACTATAGCTACAAAGCTATAATCCCAGCACCCAAGAGGCAGGGGGATCACTCTGCCTTCCAATTTAAAACAAACAAACAAACAAACAAACAACAACAAAAATTCATGTCAAGCAACACTTTAAACCAAGGTAAGTAAATATCTTACCTCACAGGAACAGCTTTAGGCATGGTGCTGATATTATTTACTTGATATTTAGGCTTATCTGTGTGAACAGAGAAAGTTTCAACTCCACTGTCAAACTCAGGAGGCTGTGCTGAACTATGAGCTTTCATAAGAGTTTTTGGAGAAGTGGGAGTTTTTAAAGACAATTCAGGTTTATGTACAGTTTCACTGGGCAGAAGATTATGGTTGAATTTTGGACTTTCAAATTTGCGTTCGAATGGCCGGGCAGAACTTGTGTACGGCTTTGGTGTGAATCGATTGTATGCTGGAGGGATGGTTTTCTGAGTCTGCTCAGCTCCATTAACTGGAGCTTTGTCTGGGAAACTTTTCTGGGGATAGAAAGTCTGAGGAGGGTCTTCTCGGGCTGGTGGTCTGAAAGCTGCTGGTTTGCTCTGAGGTGGGGGTGGGTCTGGTTTGGACATGTATGAGTTCTGAAAATCCAACGATCCTGAACTGCCTGAAAAACAAACACAGACACACGTAAGAAACTCCCTGAAAACCACTTTAACAACCCTTTGGTTTCTTCACTGGCATTAACATGTCCTGAAGTAAAGCCCTGGGTCCTGGGTGATGCTGATGGAGACAAACTGGAGTGCAGCTGGTTGCCTCAGATTCAGCAAGAGGCTACAAACGCACTGGCCTCCTAAAACAGATGTCTTGAGTAACTCTGTCCCACTATCCATTGAAAATTAGAAACAGAGTGACAAGTCTGATTATATGAAACCCATCAATATTGAAAATCCATCCTTAACCAAAGCATTAAAAAAAAAAAAAAAAAGGCATAGCAGCCACATACTGGTAGAAGACACTTTCAAACTGTGTGTGTGTGGTCATCAGTATTACTATTCTGTGCAGAAGTACAGAACACCTGCCTCTCTGTAAAATGCCAAGCACTGTGCAATAAGACACTGACCTAACCATCAGGGAAACATGAAATAAAAACAAACTAATCATTAAAGATCACATCACAGCCAGGAAATGTCCAAAGCTGACAAAGCTGACAAATGGGACAAATCATGTGTCCATGGAGATGTGGGGACAGCAGAGATGGCTGCACTCTGCTGGCTGCACTCTACTGGAGCAGGAGAGAACAGAACCACCCAACTTCTATGAAATCACAGAACAGGAACACTGATGGGAAAATGTCAGGTTTTTTGTTTTGTTTTAAAGAAAAGATAAAGAAAAGCTATGCCCTCTTTTACAGAACTAGTACAATACTGATAACAAAATCAAAGTCATTTCAAGAAAACTATAATTCCAAATTCTTCATGAACACAATAATGTAACTATAGTAAGATAATAAGAAAAAAAAATCAGATGATCCTATTAATTTTAGAAATAAATATTTTTAATTTTAAAGACTCCTCCTCCCCCAGACAGGGTTTTTCTGAGGAGCCCTGGTTGTCCTGGAACTTGCTCTATAGATCAGGCTGGCCTCGAACTCACAGAGATCCGCCTGCCTCTGCCTCCCAAGTGCTGGATTTTTATTTTATGTATATTTGAGTGCAAACGCATGTATGTGTGTTTCCCACATATGTGCCCAGTGCCTGTGTAGGCCAGATTATGATGTTGGAGCCACTGAATCTGGAGTCATAGTCAGTCAAAGGCTGCCTGATGTGGTGCTGGGAGCCAAACTCAAGCCCACTGTAAGAGCAGCAAGTGCTGTTAAACACCGAGCCATCAGTCCAGCTCACGAGAGAAAAACATCCAACAAAACGCTTTCAGCAAACAGTAACAGAGACAGCTCCTGTGATAAAAGGCACCTATTAAAACAAATCAATACTAACAAAACCTTATAGCTAGCATCACTTAGAGAAAAACAAATCTTTCTTCCTTAAGGAGGGGAACCAGGAAAAGTTATCTGTTTAAGCCATTTGTTTTTCTTCCTTGTGTCGGTCTCTTAATTGTGCATAGGATCTGCTGTCTAGCCAGGCAGTAGTGGTGCATACCTTTAATCCCAGCACTTGGGAGGAAGAGGCAAGTGGATCTCTTGAGTTCAAGGCCAGTCTGGTGTATAGAGTCAGTTCCAGGACAGTTACACAGAAAAACTTTGTCTTGAAAAACCAAAATCAGGAGTTGGGGATTTAGCTCAGGCCTAGCAAGCACAAGGCCTGGGTTTGGTCCTTGACGCCAGAAAAAAACAAACAAACAAACAAACAAACAAACAACTCGTTTTTCTTTTAAAGAAAAAGGAAAGAAAAACCAAAACCAAAAAAACAATTTTTGCTGTACAGCCCAGGCTAGCCTTTGTATCCAAAGTGTCAGAACTAAAGGCATGTGCCACCACATGCATCTCTAAGTATGAGTGAGCTATGTGTACAATAATTGGTTTGCTTCAAGGATGCAACCCTCCAATCTGACTCCCATGTAATAGATAGGTACTAACAAACGTCAAAGAGAGACAAATTGTATTATATTAGGGTAGAGTATTATCTAGCTATTCAAATGAGTGAGCTACATTCATTGAGATTTTATTGAAAGACGAAAAGATATTTTCTGTGTAAAACTATGGCTTTCTTATGTCCACATCTTAAGATGGAACACAAGTCTTATAAGGCACTATTCAAATATTTAAAATTACATCTTATTTAGCGTGTGTGTGTGTGTGTGTGCGCGCGCGCATGTGCGTGTGCCACTGAGAGTATACGAGGTCAGCAAGAGAACTGGCTGGAATCAGTTCTTTCCTTCGACCATGCAAGTTCCAGGGTTGGAATTCACATCAGGCCCTATGAAGCAATTTAACCTGCTGAGCCATCTCCATGGCCCTTAAATATTTAAACTGAGGCATACGACTTAATAGGTATGGCTGGTTTCAAGATGTGGAGACTGGTATAAAATTAAGCTATGTTAAAAAAAATACCAGGGGTGGGGGGCTCGACAAAAATCCATTTAGCTACAAGGCTCATCCAATATAATGATCACTTATATAAACAGAAGATAACACATAACACATTTTTTTTCTTTTCTGTGAGAGTTAGTATGTAGCCCTGGCTGGCTTGGAACTTACTATACAGACTAAGGTAATCTCAACACTCAGATTCATCAGCCTCTGCACTAGGATTAAAGACATTAACTCCCACACCAAATGACACACATTTTTGACAAAAAATCTTTACTTTTTACTATTACCAGCCAAAACATTTTTTAACCTTTAAAAAAACGTTAAACTCACCTAAGCTTCAAAACTGTAAGAATTTAACTTCATAGCCATTACTCTATACAGTACTGCATCAATGTCTTAACTTCCTACCTTCACCCTGGGTGCCCTTGGAATGTATGTGGAGAGAAGAGCTGGACAGAGGTGGAGCTGGCTGGCTGTACTGTGAGGGCAGTGGAGGAGGAGGAGGCGTGGCCTGGGTTGGATCATAACGTTTCTCACCGAATGATCTATCCACAGCATCAGTTTCGGGTTTTCCCCTATTTAAAAGAAAAAGAAAGACATTTCAATGCTGGAAAATAAACCCCATCACAAAACTGCTGCTGTTTCTTTAAAAAAAAAAAAAAGTATCTAGAAATGTCCAATTACACAATTTATTCTCATGAGTATAGGTAGCGACTCTACCAAAATATACAAACAAATTCATCAGCACAAGAAATGTCAAGACAGCACAGATACTTGAAGAATATTAGTAAAACATCCAGAAGATATCTATTAAAAGGCAGATGAAATTTTGGGTGTACTTTTATTATTTGTGATACTTATAAAAATTTAAGGAAGTTTTGCAAATATTTTGAGAAATGTTATTTTAGCACAAACCTTCCTTAAACTCACTTCTAATTTTGTATCTCAGGTACAAAGTCTTGGTGTCAAGCATACTCAAAGCACCATAAAACATGATGTCATAGATCCAATGTTGCCAAGCTTTTCTAGTAAAGAGCCAGATAAAGGACTTGCCTTTTTGAGCCATAGGGTCTCTGACACAGCTATTCGACTTAGCTGTTATCAGGCAAAATTAAACACAGTCAGTCAATGGATGGGCAGGGCTGTGTTCCAGTAACACTGGAACAACAGGGCATCTTTAAAACCTGCCCTGGTTCTTTCTCTTTGCTGTTTAATGATTGCTGGAGTAGCAGACACTACTTTACAAGGCTTGTCTAGTGAAAACTGTGCCATGTATCCTTAGTTTTTCAAATTGCCAATTGTTAATAAGTAACACATAAAATTTAAACAAATGGAATCTAAATAGACCCATAATTGCAACCCTGCCACCTGAGCCTTACTGCAGAGTGCCAAGCTGCACTGGCAGTATGTGCACAGACAATAACATCTATTTGAAATGTATATTCATTTTCATACAATATTTTTGTTGAAAATAATCTAGCTTTATCAACAGCATCAAAATTAGCTGGTACCTTGCTTACACATAGTTAGACTTCAATGTTAGAAGATAACATTAAGATCTGAAAGTGCACATAATGCCAATGACACAGTGAGGGACATCTCATGGAACAGCCTCACATCAATGCCAGTCTTACCACTTGATGTTCCTTTTCAAGTAGTCATAGCTAGTGTAAGAGCCAAGAAATCTAGGTGATGGCAAAGCAAGCGCAATAGAAAAATGAAAGAAAACGGTCAATCTAACTAAGATTTACAGCAAATAGAACTCAAATGTCATTTAAAATATTAACCAACATCCACAATCTCAACAAAGTTTTCTTCATAAAAGAACATACTACTCACTCTCGCATAGCCAATGGAACCAGCAATAATATTAACAGATAATTAACTTAGTTATACCCTCCCCTCATACCACATATCTGTGTCCTCTCACTGCCATCTGTGTCCTCAGCCTCAGCTTCTGCTCACCTATGCCACAGCAGCTAATGGTGAGCAAGGAAATGAGCCAGAATAAGGGACAGCTCGGCGGCAGGGCACATGCCTATCACACCTCAGGTTCTGGGCTCAACACCCAGCAACACTCAAAAAAAAAAGCAAAGAGTTGCTGGATGGTAGTGGTGCGTGCCTTTAATCCAGCAGAGGTGGGCATAGTTTTCTGAGTTTGAGGCTAGCCTGGACTACATAGAGAAACTCTGCCGTGAGTAACCATAAAAAAAAAAGAAAAGAAAAAAGAAAGAAGAAAATAATGAAGTAAGACAATAAGCAATTATCAAATAATAATCAACAAATCATGAATAAGTAAAGCGCAATTTTAAAAGGTTGGGCAAAAGAAATGGCATAAGTAAAGACAGGAAAAGGGACACATGAGACATAATGGGCATACTGATCCCTTAATAACGACAAATTGGCAAATGAAAACATGTGGACCTTTCAAACATGGCCATGATCAATGACGTTCTTTTCTAGCAAGCTCTCCAGTAGTAAGCTAAATCTTGTGGTGAGAGGATACTTATTTGTAAACCTGCCACACACAACACGCTCATAGATGAACAACAACAAAGTACTGCCTGTCATCAACCTATCTCCTACACTTAGTTCTCAGAAAGGCAAAACGTCAAAGGAGACACTATCTATTTCATCCAATGGCAAAGCTTACCTGTGAGAACCATTACTAGCACAGCACAGGCTCCTCCCAGACCTGTTCCGATTAGCAGTGGGGTAGATGACTGATCCAATTAGCACTGTACCCTTTACTGAGTGAGCTCCATTAAATCAATAAATACTGGATTCTAGGCAGTGTTCTAGACCCCAATAGAATGTTATATAACAAAAAATAACTAGGTTTTCGCTCTTAAAAAAAATCCAATTAACATAAAATCAAAAATGCTTTTCTAGCCAGGCCTGGTAGTGCATGCATTTGATCTTAGCACTTGGGAGGCAGAGGCAGGCAGATATCTGTGAGTTTGAAGACAGACTGTTCTACACAGTAAGTTCCATAACAGCCAGGGATATATAGTGAGACCCTGTCTCAAAAAAAACAAACAAACCAACAACAGTAACAAAAAGCCAAAAAACCAACAACTTTTCATCTAATTTGCTGGCAAATTTAGACAAATATTTTTTAATTTTATTTTATGTGCATTGGTGCTTTGTCTGTGTGCTTTGTTGGGTCCCCTGAAACTGTAGTTACAGACAGTTGTGAGAGCCTGGCGGGTACTGGGAATTGAATTTCCCTAGAAGAGCAGTCTGTACTCTTAACCACTGAGCCATCTTTCAAGCCCTGGCATCCATGTATTTTTAAGGCTATATCCTATTTATCTGGTATGTAAAAGGATAAAGTATTTCTTTAAATCCCCTGGCTCTCTTCTAACAGGAATTAGTGAGTTTCACAGAACACTTCAGAATGATTACTTCTGGGCCCAAGAAGAAAGCTCAGCCAGTAAGGCACGTGCTTCGAAGCCTGACAACCTGAGGTCAATCCTCCCATCCTCCCTATACCTAGACTCACACAGTGGAAGAAAAGAACCAACTCCCAAAAGTTGCTCTATAAACTTCATGGGTACAGTGTGATGCACCCACCTTTTCCAAACCAATAAACGCATCTTGTTTCATCTCTTAAAGACAAATGACTACTTGGCGCTGGAGACATGACTCAGCAGTTACACGCACTTGCTGCTCTTGAGGAAGGCCCTGACTCAGTTCCCACTAGTCATATAGTGGCTCATAACCATATTTAACTGTAATTCCAAGGGATCTGATGCTCCCTTCCAGTTTCTGTGGGCACCAGGCACATGTATGGTGCATATACATACATGTGAGCAAAAGACTCATACACTAATTTTAAAGAGAAAAAGATTACTATAGAATATACTCTTTGCCTTACCAAAAACTGAGCTTAAATGACCTGATATTCTATCTAGATGCTGTCAGGCACCTGTCCAGTGTTGTGCTAGAAAAATGTATTTAACACAATTCTCCACTGCAGTAAAGTATGCATCTGTACTTCTCACAAACTGATCTCTTCAATAGAAACAAAGATTTAAAGAAACTAAGATGTTCTAAATCTTTACTAATGGTATCTCAGAAAACAGAAGTAACTAAATTGAGTCTTCAATATTACAAGTTTCAAAATAAAACAAAATCCTAAGAGTTTCACACAATCCTAAGAGTTGAGGTTCAGTAAAATGTGCATGCCTTTAACCCTGGGCACAAAACTCACATGTCTTATGTCTAAGTCATAGTTCCATTCAACTTATAGTGACTAAGCTGGGTGGTGCACTAGAAATGGGTTTTCAGCTCAAATGGAATCCCTCTTGCCTCTTACCAGGTAAAGAATGTAGTCCTTCCCTGAATTTGGATGCTTTTCAGACCATCTGCCTTTTAGGATATTGTTTGGGCAGCTCCCATAATTTTGGAAACTAATTCTTTGTGACAAATTCATCTGTTTTTGTTTCTATGGGTCTCGTTTTGTGGAGTATGAGCCACTAGTGCCTGTGTTGGATTATATCCAACTCTCAGTCCCAAACTCTGTGAGGATCCAAGCAGAGATGTGCCAGGAGCAGGAAGCACTAATCCACCAGGCACAAGAAAAAAGTGCACCAACATAAAATCATAAAAGAAGAGAGAAGAGGGAAAAAAAACTGAGAACCAAGAAACCTGTAATTTCATCTCGGCTGATATCTGTAAAGCCAGACTACAAAACTCTACAAACACCCATGCTCGAAAAATAAAGAAAAAGACAGCTCTTCTCACCTTTGTGAAACCAAGACCAAAAAAATATCTGAGCATTCCCTATGACCCTCCCCCCACCACCCCCCACCTACCTAGTTGTATGTCTTAAAGACAAAAACACAGTAAGAAAAGATGTTCATTAAGTGTGTGTCCCTACATGGAGAGACTGAAGACTCAACTGAGAGTCTTAAGCTCACTCTTTTCACCAAAACTCTTGCTTTTAGCAACCTTCCTTACATCAAAACTCTGTGTATCTGATGTTAGGGTTAAGAGTTAAAAACCCAGCAGCACCGTGTGTGTTGACACACTGTGTCCAGTTTCCTTAGAAGTTGAACTCTACATTACGCAACTGAAACTTTTGTTTCATCTTAGGTTGAGTCTTAGGTGAAAAAACTTACTTTGAAGAATAACTAGAGAAATTTGGCTGACTCTGAGAATGAACTGGCTTGGCAGGCTCTGAGTGATGGCCAGCAGGAATATGTGCAGGAGGCTTGCTTTCAAAACTTCTTCGGTCAAAGTAAGAGAGCTGTTTCCGGTAATACTCTTCATCCTCTTCAGGGTCATAATGATTTGATCGAACAATGTCTTCGGGTGGCTTTACTTGAGGTTTCTGAGGCTCTGGGAGCCTGATAATGAGGGACACAGATTTTTAGGTGTTAATTTTACAAAGACAACAGAACATAAAAGTCTAATCCTATCTTGATTTTCCCCTTTTGTCTGTGTGCACAGGCCAATGTCGGGTGGTGTTCTTCAGAGTGGTCCATCTTGTTTAGTTTTGTACTTTCATCTTTTTACTGACAGCTATGACTATTTGGTTTTAATGGCATAGTCAAAAAAATCAGCATGTATATTCTAAAATAACATATTCGTGTTGTACATGCAAAGGTGGCTCCCTTTGTCTCGGGAGAATCTTAGTACAACTTAGCAAACTCACTGTTTGTTTGTTAAGGGGTTTCATAGCAGGTGAGGAGCAATTAAAGAGAAAAGAAATCAAGACTGTGGAGAACCATATCAATGTTATCAGTGTCAGCAAAAGGGACTTTTAAGAATCAAGAATAAAAGGGATTAAAAAAAAAAAACTTAATCTAGGACCAATAAATGATTCTCATTATGAGCAAACAGCCCAATCTATCCAAAATCCTAGAGGGTAGAGCAAGGAAACAAACAAGTCAGGAAACAGCTGACTACACTGGACAGTAGTTCCTTCTTCTTATTATTCAGTAAATGAAGCAAACGAGTTGGGCCAGTCTGTCACTTGTGGGGCATAGTTGACAGCACGGGGGCAAGAGCAGGAGGCCTGGCTTCTCTGCCTACTCTAACATATGCTACGTGCTACTTAACCGGAAGCCCCAACCGTAGCAGCTCTGTAATACAGAGAACAGCAGCAAGTACTTTACATATGCTCCCTAAATGAAGAATTGTAGTATTTAAATCAGCTTGAGTTTGTTTTCACTCCTACAAACGAACAGATCGGACTCTGAACATACTTAAAACGGAGACAACAATAATGGCTTTAAAACTTTTGTTTCAACCATTTGTTTTAAAAACAAAACAACTCAACTTTTCCAAAGATTTGTTTACTAAAGCTTGGTCACAGGAGCACATGAATACTCTGTCCCTGTGGTCAGGGCTCATCAGGAAAGCTGGCTGCTCAGCTTGGAGAGTAAGGTCCCCTCTTCCTCATACTTCTCCTTCACTAAGTAGTAACCAGTTTCTCCCTAAAAAGCAAACTTTCCTGTTCGGATCCATGCCGTATGCTGTGAAGCACACCCACCTGTAGAGTGTTTTGTCGTGCTCGCTAAACTGATTCTGAGGAACAGGTTTAGGGCCAGAAAGAGAAGCACTTGGAGGTTTAGATGCTACTTCTGGAGGCTGCAGAAAACAAAAAAGAGATAGTTAGCAAGAAAGGTATCATTAGGAGTAAGTAGGAATTAAGAAACATCTGACCCTCACGACTGTATCACACACTCGGGTCAAGACATACCGCCTTTACCTTAAAGCTGGCAGTGTCATTCACATCTTTCTTGTTCTCCAAAGACGCAGATCTTTTGTTTTCAAACATTTTGACTCTGGTGAGCACAGACTGTGGTTTCATTGCTGGATCCTCCTCTTCTTCAGTTAGAGTTGGGGGTGGAGGCTGTGGTTTGGTAGCTGAGGGCAGAACTTCTGGCTTATGCTGGGAGGAAGGTATCAGAGGAGGAACAACTGCAGCACCATGGAGAGGCTCGTAATGGCCTGTTTTGGAGGTAAATCCTGGTGGTGGTACTTGCTCATAACTTCGTGGGTACTGGTCAAAGTACTGCTTGGGCTCAGATGACTTAGGACCTGCTGAAGAATAGGGCTGTGCTTCTGGCCTGTACCTGTTGTGCACCTCATATCCAGGGGTTGGCTGCTCTTCATGTCGGAGTGTAGAAGTTCGTGGCAGCTGCTCGTAGCGTGTTCTACTGTCGTATGGCAGAGGAGCTGGCTCTTCAAAACGCTGGAAATAACCTCGTTCTGAAGCCTCTTCAGGATGCTGTCTAGAGTCCAGGTCTCGAGGATGCTGATTATCAAAAGGCCGAGGTTGGTAGGGCTGTTTGTCATCATAATACGACCACTGGTCTTCATAGGTAGGGATTCGATCTTCAAATCGTAGGCGATGGTCATAGTTCCGAGAAAACTGGTCTGCGTAGCTTGAGGACTCATACCTGTATGACTGCTGCTCAAGGTCTCTGCTGGCTTGTTTTTCCACATATGGAAGTTGGGGATCATAGGCTAGATTTGGCTCTTTTTCTGGCCTCTGCCCTGGGTGACCAAGAGCTGGTTGTTTTAAAATATGGTTTTGTCTCATCATTTCTTCAGGATATGGCTCCTTCCTATACACCTGCATTTAAAAAATAAATAAATTTGAGGACAAAGGCTTGTTTTAATTCTATTCTATTTTATTAGGCAATGACAAATATTAAGTTATAATTTTAAAAGCGAAATGGTATATTCTACCACTTCTACGGGGGACACAGCAGATTAGTGTAGACAGCTAGCTCAAGTGAAAGCTCACAATTTACACTACAGGTAGGCATGTTTACGCTTTAGCTTATACCAACAAAAGTAAGGTAGAGATATGTATTCATTTAGCAGAAAATTAAGTCACAGAATGACTGCTTCTATTTGATTTTGACACTGAAGATAAAAATCATGAAGAAAATTTATGAACACCATAATTTATATAAACATAAAAATGTTATGATGAGTCTCAAACTATATATTAAAGGAGTCTAGAAGATACTAAAATCAAAATTAAAAGTAATAAAAATTATTGAAGCACAAGTTTTAAAAGGATTGGTCACACAAATAATCAATATACCATTGGAAGCCATGCAAACTACAAAACTGAAATGATCTGTCTTATTGGAAAGCACTAGAGTGTGAGCCCAGTTTAAAAAAAAAAAAAAAAGAAAAAGCAGAAGGAAAACGTAAAGGGCGAAGCAGTGGTGATCATGTGCCAGGTTGGTGGAGAGCAGCAGTCAGTGCAGCACTGCAGCACTGCAGCACAGGTACCTTTGCTGGGTCTACATGCGACGGCAATGGCGGTCCTTCAGCTCTGAGCACTATGGGAGCTGCCTCAGTACTTGGTGCTCCTAAGCAATCAGCTTGTGATACGTGCGAGGTGGGAGGAGCTGGGGTGGGCTCCTCCTCCAGGCTGACATTAGTTAAATTTACATTATGGTTAACTGCAGAGGCTGATGATGCTGGGTTTGTTTCAGGCGAAAGGTAAGGGACTGGAGATGAGGCTTCTGCTTTCTGTGAAGTGTTTAAAATATTTTAAATATAATGTTTGTGTCTATTACTAACCTCCTGCTCAACTTAATAGTGATTGGTAGACATTAAGTCTGTTGATTAACACTGTTAGCTATGACCTCATAGGGCTATATTTCTGTTAAAAAGCTCATTATAATGTTGCGTAAGATGAATGCAGAAAACTCAGAATAAAGCCCTTGGTACTCTCAATCTGAAATTCAAGATTAAGTTGTAATCTGAGGAAGAAAAGGTATACTCTTTAACTTATCACCACACTCTCAAAACTTCATAATGCACCTCTAACTCTAAGCGCCGAATGCTTGCTGCTTACCTGTTGAGAGGCTGTCTTAAGTCCAGGGGAGTCTATTCTATGAATAGCTTGTGGCTGCGCTTGTGGTGAGTAAGGAGGATATGTTTGGTTTTCATGATGCATTCCAGAGGAATCCTCTCTTACAGGCTCAGAGGACCGTGTAATGGCAGACTCCGGTGGAGTCCCCACCTCATCATTAAGAGTTTCATCTAGTTCTTGATCAGTGTAGGCCCCGCCTTCTGTATCTGTGTCTTCATAGTCAGAAGTGTGTCTACTGTCCGTGCTATACATTGAGTACTCACTACCTGGGGCTGACAGGTAGGACAGACGATCATCATGCAAATCAAGGTCATCACTTGTAGCACCATCCGCCTGGGTCAAATAAAAGTAAATTAAAAATTTTATTCAGTAGTTCTTTAAGAGATGGCCTTTATTTTACAAGAGAGATTGAAAAGAATATTTTTCTTTGGAGAAATCATATCTATTTCTTGAAATTTCTGATGAGGAAAGGTCAAGAAGATTGTACAAGCACACATGCAGATACACATAGCATCCCCTGAGATCAGAAGGGCTTGGATGAATCAAACAGAGGCTGACTAGCCAGGACAAAGCCAGGGCCCAGCCACAGAGAACAGGAAGGAATTCTGGCATGACACACAGATATAAACCTAGTCATTAGCTTTTTATCCAAAAAGCAAGGTGAAGAAGAGAATGCTATTAAACCAAGCTCACACAAACAAGGGCACACTGACAGAACAGCACTTGTGAGAACAACTATGAAAAAATAACCCCACAGTTATCTGAGTAAGAAATACTCTATTTATAGTTAGGAAACAATTTTTTTTAATTGGAATTTGGCCCTTAAAGTTTTTATGAAATAACAGAAAACCATCACCTGTAATTAAGAAGACATTCTTTCTTATTTTTCACAGATTTAGTAGCCAATGGATGAAAAGGGAAAGCTGTTACGTTTGTCTTTTGCAAGTAATTAAGACCAGAGTTAACTCCTAACAGTCTAAGGTAATGAGCTTCAGAGTAGCTCAGAAAGAAAATGAGAAGTACAGGAGGAAAGGGAACTATGGGCTGCAGTCAACAGACTGTCACTGAACACCAGTTTGAAACTAGTACTTGGGTTAACCAGAGCAGTCTCTGAAGATATTGCAGAAGAAGCGATAGAACTAGAATCCTGAAATCACAAGGATTTCTTCCATTACAGCATGGACCACACTGTGTGAGAAATGTTGAGATTCACTCTCTAGGCAGATGCACTAGCAGTAACCAGCAGGGGTGGTGCAGCTCTGAGTCTCTTATGCCAAGCATGGTCTTGGGAGCCAGATCTCCTTAACAGTGCTTTTCATGTCATTGCTTGCTTCAGTGAGAGGCTGACCTCAAGCACTGCCTATCTGGTAAGATGAGTGAGGGGAGGCTGTGCCAGGCTAGGGGCAGAAAATCCCAGGGCTGTGCTTGGTTACAGGAAAATGTTTCCCACTGATCACTACCTTCTATAATGGCTACTGCTGAAGAGAAGTCTTCTTGCCATCTCCTTTAATCTTTAACTCAATGGGAACAATTTAAAGCTTGCAGAAGAATCACAGAATCCACCCATCTATCTAGCTTCTTGAAATACAGAAGTGAGCAAGAGCCATGGCTGTTTTGAAGTAGGAAATATTATGTCTTAACGTTAAGAAACTCTCAGGATGACATTTCTTGAGTTCACAAGAGTGTGTCAGATCTTGCAAAAAAGTAACTCTGTGGCAATTAAGTCAAAATGATAAATTCAGAAAAGTTGGTGAAAATAAAAAATTTCTTGTCTCCAATTATCTATCCATTCTGGTAAAACATATTTGGATGGAAGGGGCAGCAAGAGAAACCAAGTGTGATTTAAGTTATAATAACTTCTCTGATTTACAAACTGCATCAAACTAAGCAATAATATTCTATTTTACCTTAAATAAAAAGTTGCAGTAATCCTTTACTTGAAAACAAAACCAAGTATACGAAGTATTACAAAGATAAATCATAGAAAATTAATTTTTATGGGTTAAAAAATAACTTTCAGGCAAGTATGTATAACTTTATACTAATTAAATTTAGACTAATTTTAAGAACTCAGTTCAAAAGTGAAGGCTATCAACATTCTACTTGGCAAAGTATACTGGGAGAATTATGTACCCGCACATGAGGAACATGAAGAGGACTCAATCCTTCTATCAAATGCCACAAAAGTAAACCCTGGTGTGTTGCTATAAACTGGTGTAGTGAGTTATTCAGAGTGACCTACTCTCTCATCTGCACAGTCCATCACCCGATGGTACACAATGAGAAGGACTCTGATGCTTTGTAAGAGTTGAGAACAGTGGTGCTACCTCTAGCTATAAACGCCTAACAGCTTTCCTTGCAGAGGTCACATGTTTCTGGAGAGGACTCACTGAACATGCAGCATGCACTGCCAGAGCATCTGCACAACAGCCAGGCAGAGGAAGGGAGGGTCCATGCAGGGGCAAAACACAAAACTCAAACAAACAAGGCAACATAAAAACTTAAAATCAAAAACAAGGCAAAAACCCAGAGAGACTCTCAATATTCCCTAACAACCACATGGATCTGACGAAGGTAGACGGCATTAAAAACAAAGATTCCTTCAACAGTGTACCTTAAGGAAACAATTACCTCTCCAAACAAACAGATCTTTCCCATCAAATACCAGTATAAACCAAGCTGATACCAGAAAGCAGTTACTTTAATACTAGCTATTTAGGTATTCGTAAAAACCAAAATCCAAACTAGTTTGCTTACTGCTTTCCAGTTGGTTGTTAAGGATGTGTAAGGTTCCACTGGAGGAGGTAGAAGGAATTAATTCCTAAGGTAAAATGTGAGGAGGGCACGCTGTGTTTACTTTGAATGTTTCCTAGCGCTTCAGTGGGCTAGTGGCTTCTGCTACACTCCTGACGGCCACTGGAGGGTGGTGTTCCCCACACACTACTTGTCTTTCTAGGAAGGCCTCCTTACTCAAGCCATAATCCCTTCACTTAGGGAAGGAAACTGAAGTCAAGCTCAAAGCTGTTGCTCCCCAGCTACATGGGGCAAAGTCAAAAATGGTTTTTAGTGTAACCTGAGAATTCTTTAACAGAAAACCCCAACAGGCTAGTAATTTAGTTGAGGAAAAAAGATAAGCTTTCAACTTTATAACCACTACATACAAATGATAAAAGTATTATAAAACCTTTTCCAAAATTTCTTTAAACTCTTGATCTAGGAAGAAAAGAATGGTAACAAAAAGACATGTTTAATTAGTTATGTAATTTAGCAAGTGTACAAAGGAAGCTCCATACCTTCCCCTCAGAGACCCACACCAGCTGGTTCTGTTGCTGCTGAATCGCTTCTTTCAGGGCACCATACCAACCATCATTCATTGAGTTTAAGTTAATTGTAGCTGAAAATGAATGAACAATGTAATTTAGTGGTTAGAACATTGCCAAAAGTGAGGAGAAACCATCCAACCCTGTCCATCATCAGTCTGAGGAGACAAGTATTTCATATTTCTATTTGGCATTCATTACACTTTTCCTTTCAACCAAACATTTTTGCTTTTACATCAATAGTAAGCTCTCCAAGCAGAGACCATAAAAGCTTTAGCATGTGAACAACAAAACCTTTTACATCTATATTATTGCCTGATCATTTTAAGCTGAAAAAGAACTTTTAGTATTATACTCACTTGTAAAAAGATGGTGATTATTCTTACGAAGTTTATGAGACCGTTCGTATAGCTTCCTGGCACTTTTCCGGGACTCTGGACATAACCTCATCCTCATTGTTTTTACGCCTTGCTTAGAGTCAGGGTTGAGAAACACAACAATTGGATACCACTGCGCATAATTAAGACGATCCACTGCATTTGGCGTTACATCTAATAAAGCGTGTTTATCCTAGAGACAGGAAGGAAAACACATACAAAGATACAAAACACCATTAAAACTCAATTCTTTTCTAAAAATCGCCACAGGCTCTGCTATACTTTGGTGTTAGTTGAACCTTGTGATTGCTACGTCTCAGGAGCATTTATTAAAAATATGTAATCAGAATTTCCAACCCAATTTTAAAACCTTTTTATCAGCTATTCTTAAGATTCAGTCACAACTTTGTAAGCTAACAATTATTACCTGTGCTCATTCTGTAAAAGTCAGTGTAGCAACTTAATGTTTCTGACATCTCTTTCCAGACACACACTCTGAAGTGTACTGCTGTAACACCATGTTAATTACATCTAAGCATCAGTATTTTTACAGCAGTGAAGGATCTTCTGGTGTTGACTACAACTATCTTCTTGAAGCTGCTGTTGACGCTTTTATACAACGATAGCGTAACTTCCTCAGGACACACTAACAACAGCACTGGGAGATTCTCCCTTTGTTATACACTACATCTCCTCATCAAAGCCGTAAGGTCCATCGTTAACTTCCTCAGGACACACTAACAACAGCACTGGGAGGTTCTCCCTTTGTTATACACTACATCTCCTCATCAAAGCCGTAAGCTCTACCGTTTATAAGGAGCAGGTCGACTTATAACTTACTTGATCTATGATCTGTTTTATTGTATGAAGGCGGATAATTCCAGAGCTACGATGGTCAGTTCCAGCATCTCGTGGTTCACTTTCTATTCATGAAGACAGGACAAAAATAAAACAGTATTTCCACTGGTTAGATAAGAATTTCTCAAATACTGGGCACTACAGTCATGCTGGAGTAATACCTGGGTACAGAGCTGTGTTGTACATGGTGGATGTTTAGCATTATGGATTCTATCCACTAGAGGTCGGTAGCAAGTCATCAAGCCCCTGTTTGTTTAGTTATTGTAAAAAGCAAAATGTTTCCATCACAGAGGGTGGAAATCACTAAAGGAGGTAGCTATCCACTCCCTAACCCCTGACCCTTGACCCTTGTAAGACAGACCTATATTAGGTCAGAAAATGTTTTCCAAGAGAACCAGGATTAAGAGAAGGCAAGTGAGGCACTTGCTTTCGGAGTAAACTAAGGAGGCAAGAACTTTAGTAATGAAAATAAGTATTATGATGTGGTCCTTAAAAAAAAGGTTGCAAGGAAAACAATCAGTATGCTAGAAAAAATTATATGTGATTAAATGTGATAAATACCTCGCCTAACATGAGATAAAGATTTTAAAAATTGTACTGATGAGTTTGCTTTTATTAAGGCCAGGAAAGTAAAATTACAATAAATTCTTGTTTGCTAGGAAAAAAAAATATGTTTTTTTAAAATCTGAGATTTGATATGCTTACCTTTTCTTCATTGTTCTTTCAATCCTATTAATATTCCTAAAAATTCCAGAAGTTATGGGCTTAAGAATGCTTTCTGTCCTTTACCTGAGGTTTAGTTTCCCACCCTCCTCCACAGTGACACAAAAAAATATAGTCTCATTTGTGTGGCACACAGATACAGGGAAGCTATTCCTGCCTGGAACCAGTCAGCCATGATGGGCTGAGATCCACAATGATGCAGCAAATGGCCTGGAGGTTTCCAGTCAGACACCTCACCTCTAGTCACAGAGGTGTAAGCACTGAAGCTGAGGAGCTGGAGATGCCACTGTGAGGCAGCTTGGGCGTCATCTTGGCAGCCTTCTATTACCTTATACATAATATACATTACTTGACTTCTTCATTAAGGAGAACAGTGATGTTTGTGACTCTGGCCACAAATGGAAGTGTGTGGGGAAGGGAAAAAGCTCTGGTGTTTCAGGTCAGAAAAGGCAGAGAAATAGCCTGAATAGCTACTGAAATAGCCAGTAGCACCAATGAATAGGCAATACTAGAGACTGAAACTATCAGAAGACAAGCTTCATCTGACAAATGTGAGTAAGAAGAGTAATTAGTTGGGGCTTTCAGTAGAAGAGAATGCTTCTTCTAGCCCTTAACTCAAAAGGCTATTTATAACTATGCTACCTGAAGTTTCATGTGTGGTTGTGGCATAGTCTGAGTAAACCAATGCACGATCCCCTAAAGCTAAGTTTTTGAAACCTTCAAACTTGCTTTCCCTGCATTTAAAACCTACAAACTTGGTTCTTCAGGAGAAATGCTGCCTGCTATACAATAACCAAAAGACATCTGAAAAAAGTAGAGGCGGAAAAACTTTTTTTAATATGCTCAAACTTTAGTATCACTTATATGTGAAAATCTGATTTTTAGAAAATATTAAATTTCATCAAAATCAAATTAAAAGCAATATAAAAAAAGAGTAAAAAATCTGATTTTTAGAAAATATTAAATTTCATCAAAATCAAATTAAAAGCAATATAAAAAAAGAGTAATGTGCTAACTCTAATATTATATATATTTCAAAACGTTAAATGAGTCTGTGAGTCTAATAACAAAAACCTGTGGGCATAATCCTCTGGACAGCAATACTACCCACACAATAAACAAGCACAATGTGTTCACATTCTATGGCTTCTTCCTTCCTATAAGAAAACCATCTTAAGTATGGGAAAAGCTATCTTCTTACAAAAATAAACCAGTAAAAACAAGGCAGAAACTATATACAAAAAGAAGTCATCAAAGAAGTCATAAGGTTCAGGAAAAACATTAAAAACATTTTATTACTTATTAAGGAAAATAAAACTTTATAAAATCACAAAAAATGAACTTGGAAAATTATAAAAGAAATTGTAATGGGGAAATTGGGGGTGGTGATGACATGTGTCAAAATTATTATTTTAACTTTCACAGAGAGAGTAAGTATGAGAAAACTTCAGTGTAAGTTTTCAAGCATTATTTAAAGCACACCAAGTGGTTATGACTGAGGTTGTATATTCCCACCATCATAATACTCAGAGGTTAAAACACATGCGCAGGTGTACAGAACACTGCCGCCTCCATGTTCACTGACTCAGACTGAAGTCTACAATATAACAGTTACCAGCACGGGCACAACTCATCACCCTGTTACATATTTCTGTAGTTTAGTTATTGAAAGTCCCTGGGCACAGTCAGAGAAGGTTGAGATAAAGGCCATGCTCATTAGTGATCATCAAAAAGAAATGTTAGGAAATGTTAAACCTAACAGCTGTGCAGCAATGCTTAGCACAGTGCATTGAGGTTCGGGCCGCTCACCATTAAAACCAGTGTTTGATTCTCTCCTCACAGTGTTACTGTGAAGGTTCAACAAGATCATGGAGCTAGGCAGCTTTCACATGAAGCAAAAAGTTAAAAAACAGTGACTGTTCCTAGCACAGGGAACTGCGAGAACACAATCATTCTGCCTTCCTTTCAAATTAAAAACAATGACATAAAGTATAAATGTCTCACAAAGCTGTACTTTTTGAGGAATGAGACAAAGGAAGAAAGCTTGAAGCTCAGTGAAGGTCAGTGCTGACCCTATGTTTACTCACTTGCAATCTGATAAATATCCGGTTCCTCTCTTGCCAACTTTTCTCTGGCAACATCAGCTATTGGTCCAAAGATGGTTACAGGTCTTAGGAATCCAGCTGGAGAGAAATTAAACAAACAAACAAACAAAAAGACATAATGATGATGGCTTAAGTTTTTAAATTTCCACTTCCTGAAACACAATGCTATGAAGAAATATACACTAAGCTATAGGAAACAAACTACCTTCTCGAAGAACAACCCTTTCATAAGCTGGGAACTTTGTTTGAACTGGCTGAGCTGACAAGTCCTCTCTGCTTTTTCGAAGATTTCTCTTGGAGCTTCGAAGACCTCGGAACCTCCAGAAGTCTGCCCGATCGCCACCTGCTGTCTTTGGAAGTGTGTACTGTACACTGGCTAACTGCTCAGCTCTATTGGAAAAAACAAAACAAAATAAAACATAAACCAGACTATGTAAAAGGCAACAAGAAAAAAATTCACAATGAAATGGAATGCCAAAACTGAGGACCGAGGCTCACATGTACCTTTCATTTCAAAGGTGTTTAATTAAGTCGTTTGTACAGTCATTGAGTCAGTTATGACAGTAGCAAGTGAACACACTGAACAATACAAATCTTACAAACTTGGATCCCCCAACTGTCTATCATGACTTAAGTCACAGGATAATGAGTTTTCAAGAGTTCATACCTGTTCTTATTAGGGATGATGCCTCGTTCTACCTCCTTATGGTTTTTGCCAATTCGAATGGCAAGCCAAGAGCCCAGCTTTCCGTTGTATAAGGTATCCACGACTCGGAACACCTCTCCTTTGTTAAAACTAAGTCCATAAGGAGATTCCTTTTCATATTCAAAATGCGTTCTAATATAGAATGAATCTCCTACATCTGATTCTACAATGCGGCGATAAACTAAGGAAAAGAAACACATTAATCAATACTTACTGGGATAAAAAACCCATAATCTGCAGAAAAGATAGTTCATGAAGACGCCCCTGCTAATGCCCACATCAACATACAATACCCCGTCAATCCTCAGTTTTCACTATGTATCTGGAATTATCTCATCTCATTCTTTTTCAACCATTTATATTACCTCCTAAAAAGGGTATCTTGGAACCTCCATTGGGCTCATGATGAAATGATGCAGAAAAAGATGGATTTGTTCCATTTCTGCTTCCTATTATAGCAGCTAATTGAGCTGCAAATGCTGTAAAGAATAATTTTTGTTGCCCTATTCTTCCAGGAGACTTTGACTGTTCCAACTGAGCATGCTAAACTGTGTACAGTGGTTCATTCCTGCAACCCTGGCACTCAGGAGGTAGACAAGAGGATCAGGTGTTCAAGAACAACCTCTTCAACACAGTAAGCTCTACGCTAACTGGGCCACATGAAGCACCCACCTCAAAAACACAAAACCAAACCAAAAATGCAGTGTTTGGCCAAAATGCTCATAGTGCCAAAGCTAAAACAACAACAACAAACAAACAAAAGACCACAGAAAGAAAAGTTACATATTCTTTAAAATGATATTAACAATTTTGTATATTGCTTGGGAAATACCAGTACAAAACTTAACCACTATCCACATATTCTTTTATATAATTCCATTAGCTAATAAAACAAATATTCTTCTGAGTTATTAAGGATTGGCTGGCACTTGACTTAAATCATAATGGCATAAATACTGGTCATATTTATCTTGCTCTGTTAATGAGCATAGCGTAAGACTATAGAACCTTAAATAAAATTAACAGATTAATAAAGTCAATCATCCTCAAATGGAAATTATTTATTTTAGAATTACGTTTTTCAATTGTTCACTTTGTTTTGTTAAGACACAGTCTCACTATGTTGCCCTGGCTGTCCTGGAACTTGGAATGTAGATCAGGCTGGACTCAAATCACAGATCTCTAAATTACCTGGAATCACCTACTTCTGCCTAGCAAGTAGGGAGACAAAATGCCTAGGTCATCATGCCAGGTGAACCTCTTGTTTGAGGGGTGTCATCATGCCTGTCTTTGAGCTCACAATCCTCTTATGCCAGGCTCTTGAGTGTAGGACTATGAGCTGCTACCATCCTGACTCTGATTTACTCTGAACAACTGAACCACTCCCTCCAATCCCTCCAGGTTAATTCTATCCACGTCAAACAGTATCTCACCATCCTTCTTTTTCTGAGCCAATATGGTCACTTCTTCACCTTTAGGGAGGTCGAGGAGGAAAAGGACAGCCTCTTCTCTTATGATATTTGTGAAATCTACATTGTTCACCTATTAAAATAAAAATTTTATAAATTTATACTATTTTTAGGAATATAAATGTATTTATTTACTCAGAAAAGTATTTTCAGAGTCTAACTTGACAATATTATACTTAACAGGGAAGTTTTTTTAACTTTGGAGAATATAAAATTCTCTAATTTAAAATAAGCACAAACAAAATAAGGTGAGCAAAATGTAAATTCAAAGTAGCTACAATACTACCTGATATTAAGATAACCTATTACAGATCTATGCAATTTAGACTCAAAATGACAATATATATTCACTATCTCTATATTTAAAATTCCACATTCACTCTACATATATAGATTATAGCCTATTTTTTTTTATTATTTGCTGAAAAGTAAACTATATACCAAAAAAGAGTTAAAAAGACAAGATATGCATTATGGTGCCCCTATAACAGCAACTTTGTAATGGACGCTTTCTGGTTCTCAAGTCAGTATCTAATTATATTAGTAAATCTCTAAGTTCCAAAATGAGGTTGAAATTAAATCTACCTGAGTGTCACCAATAACTGAACAGAATTATAGGCAAGTGTAATCCTGATACCATTAGGAAAATTTTCTCCATTAATTAAAAACAATAATAACAAAAAGGCCAAAAGGTAAATAATCAAAATGTTCTAATTACTTTCATGGAAAACCCAAAGTGAGTTATTAAGAAGCTGCTTTTAGATGATGTGTTCCTTGATTCCTTCAAAACAGGATCATGAGATAGGCAAGAAGTAAGTGGTAGAATTTCAAATACAGTCAGCACTGTCATCATGTTATGTTCAAATGCAACAGAAGTGCACCAAGTGCATGCGATATTACTGGGAAGAACCTAATACAATGTCAGAGGGAAACTGCTGAGTCAGAGATGATACCTGACTTTCATATGCTTGAGTCTGAAGGGAAAGGAGGATAGAGCCCCAGCACAGGAAACTGCTCAAGTAAAGAAGAGTCTGGCTGTGGGCTACTCATTGGGATGAAGACTTGTCTCCGAAATTACAAGTCAAGGCAGCAGGAGCAGGAGTCACATGATAGAGTCTCCAGAAAGTCTTTGAGGACTGACAGGCACATGCTGCTAAGAAATCATAGAAATTGTGAGGTGAACTTGCCTCTGGTCAGCAATGCCTATGAAAATTCAGACTCAGTTGTGGATAAATAGCCAGGTTGTAAGGCCACTGGGTATTTGTTTGTTTGTAAAAAGAAAGAAAAAGAAAGCAAGGAAGGAACTCAACCACCCTTTGAAATAGAGAGCAGCAAAGGAGAGAAATGAGACTATGAAGAACCAGAAAGGAGGGAAAGAGGAAGAGATGTACAAAGCTGCAAGACTGTAGAGCAGCAGATGGGAAACTTAATGCAGCAGAGAAGAGGAAGGCTGGGGGGGGGGGGTGCGAGCACGAGCAGAATGGAGGAACCAAAGAGAGGAGATAGGGAAAACAGTAACACACAACCCACACTGGATAGACTGGTGTTCTTATTTAAAAACTGGAACAGAGCTAACCTACCAGTAGCCAAACACATATAAACATTCAGACTCTAAAGAGGAGTGAGAGACAGATGAAGGCACTACCATTAGTAGGCAACACTGCCATGGAGAAAAAAGCAGAGGAGAGAAAAGCACCATTTGTAGATTACTTCTAGCCTAAGTTCTCCTGGCTTTTGTCAACGATCACCTTTCTTGCGGGGTTTGAAGGTTGAAAGCCAGGCAGCTTACAGATCTGCCTGATGTAAACTCCATCCATCCTCCTGGATGTGAGCACTATCTGAATAAGGAGTGGGAAAGGCCGGCATTCTTATGACTCCTCCTAACTCTCATGGGAAAATAATAACCAAAATTGCTGGCTGCCAGGTTGTGGTGGCTAGCAGTCTTGGACAGTCCAAATGTTTAACTAACTTTTAAAAGACTATTTGGTAGATGGTAGAGGGATCTAAAACGTGTTTTCATTATAGGGTCTTTGAACACTTTGAACAGCAATGACTTCAGTAAAACATCACTAACAAGATAACCAAACAGCAAACAAGAGTAAAGGCGGAATGACAAGACACCAGTCTAACACAAGCTAGATCTAACCAGTTCTTAATTTGAAACTTAGGTGGTTCAAGAGACTGTACATAAATTATAGTCTAATCACAACAGTAGGTCTGTTATGGCTGGCATCTGATGATCTAAGACTTTTGAATCCGCGAAAGATGATATACTGACATACCCTGAGAATTTGATCACCTTCCTCTAAGCCTTCTTTGGCTGCAGGGCTATCTTCTAGAACGCCAGCTACAAATATTCCGACATCATTTCCACCAGCTAGTCGCAAACCCACACTATCTCCTTTTCTGAATTTTACCAGTTTCATGCTGGGCCTGTTAAAACAGATATTTCATTTCAAACAGTTAAATGTCACAGCAGGCTGCTACAGCAACAGCTACATTCAGAAAGGAATAGAGGACCATCATTTCTAAAGCCTCCTATATAGCACTTGTTTAATAAGTAAAACTTCGTATCAGAATCCAAAACCAGATTTATTAGACCTTCTAACCTCTTATTAGAAAATAAGCTTTAAAATATCTAAATTTGATGGAGAAATAATGCTTTTTGTGACCACTCTATAATTTTTCTTATAAACAATATTTTCCCTATTCTTAATCAAGTATATATGGTAAATTCCCAATACCTAAAAAATAAAACCAAAACCCACTTTTCTACACCAACCCCACAGAATAAATGAAAAGTCTCATTTAATATAAAGAAAAGAAAATATGCAGTAATTCTCTTACTATGAGAAAGTATTCAAGCAGCGTCTGGTATAATCTCTACAATCAAGATAGTGAATTTAAGTTTGGTCATTGGTACTTGGCTCTTTCGAGTACCCTTAATCTGAAGCTCTTTTTAACTTTGAGATAAGAACTTAAGGTTATTCAGCAATTCTTGATTCGACCTACATCTGTCGCTGTCCCTTATGTCCCTAGGAAGAAGTAAAGGAACAGATGTATGCATGTCCTTCTACTATGTTGGGAGCAAACAGCTGAGCAGAAAACACACTGGTCAAAGTGCTCTGCACTGCTAAGTTCTCGCTGTCATCCCCACGGTCCTAAGAACTAGTACCCCACTTTCACTATTCTGAATATGAAACACAGAAAGTTCCCTTGCCTTTAATTTATAAATTAATTACCCAATTATTAGAGCCTCTCATAAAGTCACATACATGAATAAATGAATTTGGGAAGAAATTCTGGTACTTCTGAACTGACTAGTTAAAAACTGCCAATGCCTTTTATTAAGTGTAAAATATTGTAAGGATAAAATATTCACCATTGATCTGGCTTTCTTTCTTTCTTCCCTTTCTCCTTTCCTTTTGTTTTATGGTTTTTCAAAACAGGGTCTCACTACATAGCCTTAGCCATCCTGGAACTCCCTATGTAGACCAGGCTGACCTTCAATTCTGAGATCTGCCTGCTTCTGCTGAGACTAAAGGTGTGTGCCGCTATGTCAAGCCATCTGGTTTTCTTACCTGAAACTGACTAGCTAAACATAAAAATCAAGAGGCCACAGGTTGGACAGGCCATACTCAGTCAGGTCTCCCAGAACCGTTAACCCCTCCCTGAAAGTATTACAAGCTTTATAGTGATGTTCTGAATCCTTTGGTTGTCCTGGTATCCTGTTTTCTAACCAAGTCAAAGGTATCTCACAGATTGCTCACCCCCAAGAACTGGATACACAGAGAGATCTTTTAAATATTTTCTTGACAGTCCTAGGTCCTCAGAAATCCTCTGCTAATCCTGACTAGTCCAGAGTGCCAATATAAAGTAGAGGAGGCTGAGTGGATCTGCACTTAGATAAAATCTGACTTTTGGAAAGCAATGCTAGTCAGCAGCTTCTGGAAAATGACAGGATTTGTATTCTGCCCTATCTGCATTATAACAACTATGTACAACAATAAAACCCATCCATTTCTTTTCCCCCAAATCCACTAACTATTTGGAACTAATCTGAGAGTCTGAATGAAAGACTCTCGGGGCTCAGCTACTTATACTCAGCTACTGATACAGAGGACATACTCAAGTCCTTTTGGGCATCTGCTCTTCAGGGCTTTTTTTTTTTTTTTTGGATAGAGGCAGCCCTCTGACATCTTACTATAATTTCAAGCAATCCCAAGACTGAGTAATTTAATCACCCATTACTGACACTAAAATTCTACTACTCACCTATTTCTGAAGCTATCTGCTTCGGTCTAGGCACTGGGAAACAACCCATGCATTACTGTATTTATTTGGTTTTTTGTACAGAACATACTGAGGGTGGTAGAGTTCTTGATCTATTGCAACCTTAGGAAATGTGCTTCTTTTTAAGTACTCTCACATCATGTCCTTTTTATGATAAAAGCTACAGATTTAAAGACTATGAAGGTTTAAAATTTGCTCACAAATTTTATGAAATCTACCTATAAAAGTAGCAAATAAATGGTATGGACTCTTCAAATAAATTCTGGAATGCTTTCTCAATCAGAAATCATTTTCCTCTAGGCAGCACACTGAGATGCTCTTGGCTGAAACAACTGAAGGTGTGCTACTGACACTATGGCTAGGGACTTGGTCCATGTCACAGAATAGGAGGGCCACAATAAAAGAGACATCAGCTCAAAATGTCAATGCTGACTAGCAAGTATTTATCTTTAAGTGATAGGGCACAGAAAGCTTGTAGACATTCTGACATCTTAGTAGAAAACAAATCTTTACTCTTTAGTTACTGACCTAAGATCTAGCAAAGAGAAGATGGTAATAAAAGAAACAATGGTTGCTTCACTGTTGTTAACCATAGTACTACGAGGACTACAAGCACTATATATACAATACTATAGGAACAGGACTTTCAATCCTCAGGCTAAGAAACATCTAATAAACACAAAGGTCAGTGTGGCTTGAAGACTACATTACCTAAGAATCCCATCTTCATGAGTTGAATTAGGCAGAACACCATCAGAAGGGCTGACGGGTAAATCCACATCTGGTTGTCCAACTTGAGCATACACAGGCTTTGGTTCTTGAAAAAAGAAGAAAAGAAAACTTAAATTGTCAGGACTTAATAAGCCTCATGAGATACTGACAGGAAGAAGAAGAAGAGTAACAGAAAAACAATTATCAAAGGGTCCATGCACTTCTCTGCGTCACCATGCTCATTATACAAAGACGTCTTTTCTAGAAGCCACATTCCTGCCTGCCATTAGCCAACTAGAGTAAGACAGGTACAACAGAAGCAAACAGTTCTAGTATTTAAAATAACTTTTGTTTTAAAATTTTGAAGGCAATCTAATATCCCCAACGACATCCTTGTAGTACTACGTAATGAATCCAAGGCCAACTAATGAGTGAGGAGGAAAATATCCTTCCTTACTGCAAGCAACTGTGAAACATGAATAACCATATTTAGAAAATTAAAACATTCATGAAGGTTACTGATTTATACTCTTCCCATAATAAGAAAAGCTGTAATGTAGATATGGGAAAATTCACATTGTTACCAATACTTGGATCTTTAACATCTTCTGCAAATGCTGTGTTCTGGCAGCAAAGGCTTTTTGGTTATGTTTACCTGGAAGAGTGGGTGTCTGCTTCTCATTTTTTTCAACTGTAACTTCTTCCACCGCTTTGGGTGTATGATCATCTACATGTTTTACAGGAGTTGAGATGGCCCCAGGTTTAGACATTCGCTCTTCCTCTCTACTCCGGAGGCTAATCGTTACAATAAAAACACGAGGAGAGTAAGGATGAAAAACACTTCATGAGAACAGAAGAGGCAAGACAACTTTAGAACCAGGGAAAAGTTTCCAAAGTTAGTAATCAAAATGAGGGTGGCAGGCAATATGACTCAGTGAGTAAAGACAGTTGTCACCAAACTAGATGACCTGCATTTTATCCCGAGTCCCACATAGTGGAAGGAGAGCCAGTTCCTACAAGCTCTCCTCTGATCTCCATACATATGCACATCCAGACAGACACGCATGCATGCACACATTAGCACTAAATGTAGGCTCTGTGCCTGTTTATCAACCACACTCCTCACTGTCCAGAAGCAAACATCAGGCCTTCTAAAGAGCTAGCAAGATCCTCCTAAAGACAGAAACATATAGATATGTGTGTATATGAGTGCATATGCATATCATATGTGTATTGCCACCAACACCAAGGTGCACATATGGAGATAAGAGGACAACTCTGTGGAGTCATTTCTCTATCATGCTCATGTGGAGTCTAAGGCTTGAATGCTGGTGACCAGGCTTCCTTCCACCAGGTAAAAGTATCTTTTACAACTGAGCCATCCTGCTGTCCTGTTATGGTTGTTTTATAGTTTGGACACAGCATAGCCCAATTGAGTGAGAAACTTTGGGTTGGCTAAAAGGTCTAAAAAAACCACTGTTAAAGACGGAATGGAATGGAGTTTGAAGAAATTTTGTATTTCACATAAATGACTTACTAGAAATAAAGGCTCTGTAGTTTATCTACTACATAAACAAAGTAGCACTCAGATCAGCAATGAGTAATAGTAAGTGAAAACCTGCAAGTAAAATGGCCCGGAGACCCTGTAGGTAGATGTTTGCATCCATATGAAAGCTACTGTCAAATGGCTGAGCAGTACAAGGCTTCCAAATGAGATTCTTCCCACATACATCCTTCCCAGACACTATAGACAGCAAACACCCTGTAAGTTCACCTGGCAACACAATGTAAATTCTCTGAACATTCAGTGGCCAGAGGCTGAGCCCTTCCAAGAAGGCTCCATCTGAGGCCTGAGGGTATGAGGTGCTGCCTCTTGTGCTGGCAGGCACTCCATCTTAGAAGAAGAAGAAGCAGCTGTCTGTGCTTATATTTAGACTTGGAGTTACTCCATCAGCCAATGCTTTGCAGTCCTGCTCCTTTCACGTTTAGCGTCTTTGCACTACACTGTTCCCATAAACCGCACTCACTCTCTTAATCATAGCTATGCTGTGACAGGCTTTCCCCCATATTTCTAACACTCAAGCCCCCACAGCCCATTCACACTGCAGACACCACTAAGTTATCCAGGCTTGCCTCGAACTTGTTCTGTAGTGATGTATCCAGAACTTGAACTTGTGATATTCTTTTGCCCAGCCTCCCAAGTAGCTGAGATCAGAAGCCTAACCACTAGACCATGCCTCCTGCGTGTGTTTTGTTTGTAGACTCGGGCATACACAAGTGCACACATGTGTGTGGAGATCTGAGGACAATTTTTAAAAAGTGTTTCTTCTTCCACCATGAGGGTCCTAGGTATTCAACTACGATTGTTAAGATTCTATGGTAAGTGCCTATAACCCTTCAGTCTATACCTGTGAGCCATCTTGAAAACAAACAATTTTAGTAAGAAGATAGCCCAAAACATAATTTTAGTAAGAAACAGCTGAAGAAAAGCTTTAGGGAGCCTGTTCCTCACTGATGACATCAGGCTTTTGATTAGTACAATTATCCTGTGCTCTGATAACATCTAGAGCAAACAGTATGAGACGTTCTGTGGGTTTTAGAAGTAGAGAATCATATCACAGTGATCTTAATTTCTCTCAAGGGCAAGAGGACCATTCTACATTTCTTCATCTGTAAATAAGGTTTTTTATAATTACCTTTTACATATATAAAAAAACTGACTTTTTTTTATAGAAACATTTTTTACTTTATGTACACTGGTGTTTTGCCTACAAATACGCCAATGTGAGGGTGTCAGATTGCCGGGAACTTGAGTTATAGACAGTTGTCAGTTGCCATGTGGGTCCTGGGAATTGAACCCGGGTCCTCTGGGAAAGCAGCCAGTGGTCTTAACCATTGAGCCATCTCCCTGTCCCTATTTTCAAATTTCATATTTTGTCCACCTTGGTTCTGAGTGACCAGAAAAGCTTATCACTGCACCTTCCACCAGACAACCTGGTCATTTCGTCAGATAAAATGACTCATCTGCAGAAAACTGCATAGACTGGATATCATCACATTAAGCTGATCTTATACAGAAAATCATCCTATGCTATCTTTTACATGTAGAGTGATAATACATTGATCAAAGTAGAAGGGAGACCATTTGGAAAAAGAAAGGACAAGAAGGAGGAAGGACTGTGACAGGAAAGGGTAATGGAGGTATGAACGTGGTCAAACTATACATTTCAACACAAATGTCACTATAGAACCCCACAAAGTACACATTAATAAGACTCTTGTGTATGTTCTGTGGTGTATGGTCTGAATGAGAACAGCTCCCATAAACTCACATATCTGAATACTTTATCTCCAGCTGATGAACTGTTGGGAAGGACTGGGGTCAGTTCTCTCCTTGCAGCTGGTTTGAGATGGGTCTTTTTGTTGTTTTGCCATGTGCACGCCAGGCTAACTCGGCGGCAAGCTTCTGTAGATTCTCTAGTCTCAACCTCTCTCATCTTGTTATAGGAGTACTAGAATTCTACTTTACATGGGCTCTTGGGATTTGAACTCAGATCCCCACTTATACAGCAAGGGCTTTACCCACTGAACCATCTCAGTGCTTGAAACTACTACTACCTCCATAACAAAACAACAACAAAACATCCTGGTCATTTAAATTCATTTAAATTCAAGATTCTCAAAGAATTCTAATGCTGTGTGTGGACTATAATAGTTATAGGGCCTGGACCCCAAATATAGCATCTTGGCACAAGATCTGAGTCTAAGTTGGCAATGCTTTGCTCAAATACACAATATCCCCACCACACATGTGGCTGGGTCGTGAGCTGTGTCAGCCAAAGATGGCCCTGAACTCAGGGTTTGGTATAGGCATTTTTTTTCAGGAGGAACAAACGGTAGTAACAAGAATATTTAAAATGGTTACAAACTCAAGTTTTTTGAAAGCATCACTTTCAACTACTTTAGAAGCAACTACTTTCAATTAAAAAGGATATGCTCTATTTAAATATCATTTTTATAACTTTAAGTCAATGTCTTGGGTCTCTGGTGTTGTCTGGTTCATGAAATAAGTGAGTGTGATACATAATGTGTATCTGAGCACTCTCAGAGCTTTCCCTCTGGCACGTTTTTATTACTGTTCCTGTTTATATGTGACTGTGGACGGAAGTTCAGGTGCAATGTTGGATTGTTTAAAAGTCACAAAACTGGTGTTACATATAACCAAAATAGCAAAAGGAACTTTCTATCAAATTAATAGTATAATAAGATTCCATTTTACCATTAAGGGCTACCTACCATCAAGAAAATAACAAGAGCAGGGCAGAGTAGTAGGATGCACCTTCAATCTCAGCACTTAGGAGACAGAAGCCAGGACAGCATGTCCTACATAGTGAGGCCTTACCCCATAACAACAACGATAATAAGAAAAAAAGAAAAAGAAAAGAAACAAGTGGCCATGATTCAGAGGAAAGGGAAATCAAGGGTATTCAACCTCTGACACTGCAACATGGTGTCATCTACAAAGTTACAAAGTCCACACTCAAAGGAATGTGTAATGTTATCCAAAAAAGGCTCAAAACAAACAAACAAACAAAAACCAAAAAACAACAAAAAAACCCACACCAACTCTGCACAAACAAAACAAGAAAACCTATTAATCACGAATGAAATCAGCACAGATTCCTCAAGATCTCAAGAAGTTTAAAACAGAACTTCTGTACAAGCCAGCTGAACCCTTTCAGTATATATCCAAGTAAACTACATAGCTGCATCACAACTTTATTCACAACAGCCAAGCTAAAGAATCAGTCCAGGTGTCTGTCAACAGATGAGAGGATAAAAATCAAAGACTATCTCTGTTGTGTGCTTGCTCGCTCTCACTCTCTCTCTTTCACACACACACACACACACACACACACACACACACACACGCACACGCACACACACACTATAAAGTTTAATTAATTCATAAAAAATAAAATCATGGCATCTACAGGACAATGGACAGAAGTAGAGGTCATCATGTTAAGTGACATACAAACAGACACACATGCACATCTCGTGCTTTCAGTCATGTGGATTTTAGTGTGAGGAAAAAGCGTTAAAGAAAAGAGGACAAGGAGGGAGGTGAGAGGTAAAAGAAGTAATGGAGTAAAGTCTAGTGCGTGGGTAATCTATGCTAATAAGAGTAACAAACCAAACAAGAAAACAAAGAGAACTTTCTATGATTCAGAATTTATTTATACTCAAAGTAGCCACATTCTTAAAATTCTGATTACTACCACTCCTTTTTAGCAGTTTCTGCGTTAAAGGATTTGCTAAGTTATGATTGCCCCCTCAATGCACCCACCATAGATGCTAGCACTAACTCCATTAGAATGCTGTGTCAGAATGCCATTCACAGTTAACAGGGGCTTTTTAGAATAGACAGCTCACAGTAGGTTAAAAAAAAAAAAATCAACCAATTTTACAGTTGATATACCATAATAATCCTTTAAAGACCATTTCGAGCAAAATAAAGATTCAGATTTACATAATTGACCCAAAGCTTGAAGTGTACCAAGGATGGATGGAGTTCGTATACCTAAAAGCTAAAGAAGATGTAATGGCAGCAACCAGATATCCTCTGTTGCTACTTGAGGAAACACAAATGCCTTTACAAATGCACAGCTTTAACACTTGTTTATTTGCTTGTTTTGTGACAGGGTCTTATTTGTCCCAAGATGACCTTAAACTCAGTATGGTGACTAGTCTGTGTCAACTTGACACAAGTTATAATCATTTGAGAGGAGGCAACCTCATCTGAGAAAACTTAGGCTATAAACAAGTCTGTACAGTGTTTTCTTAATTAGTGATGATTGGGGAGGACGCAGGCCATTGTAAGTGGTCTGATCCCTGGGCTAGTGGTCCTGAGTTCTATTAGGCTGAGCAAGCCATGAGAAGCAAGCCGGTAAGCAGCATTCCTCCAAGGGCCTCTGCCTCAGCTCCTGCCTGCAGGTTCCTAGAGTGCATGAGTTTATCCTGACTGCCTCTGATGATGGACTGTGATGTACAAGTGTAAACCAAATAAACCCTTTGCCCCCCAAGTTGCTTTGACCATGGTGTTTTATCACAGCAGTAATAACACTAAGACACTCGTTATATAATTTAGGATGACTCTAAACTTCAAATTTTCCTGTCTCTCCCTCCAAAGTGCTAGGATTATGAGTCTCTTAACGTGTAGTTTTATTGGGGGCATCAAACTCAGGAATTTATGCATGCCAGACAGGCACTCTACCAACTGAACGCCACAGCCAGCCCAGATCCTACTCTGGTTACTAAGCATTTCCAAGGCTCTCTCTCAGTCTTCTCTCTTCCCTGCTCCCTTTGCTATTCTCTGCAGTCTACTTCTTGGCCCTTCTTCATAGAATTCCTCTTAACAACCTCTGTGACTTCTGGAGTTTTGGGTAACATCTGCATGCAGATAACTCTCTCTAGATCTAATCTGCTCTTCAGCTATGTAATTGAATTTTTCCTCTTCTACTTTCACTGTGATACAGTATTTAAGGTGTTTGATATGCCTGCTTAGATGATGCACATCACTGGAAATGACCAGTTAAATCTCCTCAGATAAACATGTGGTACATGATGAGAATACTTAAATTTTACTTTACAGTGACTATAGTCATCACAATTGCATTGGGCTTCCTTTGCACTCTCTGACAGACAGCATCTCCCTACTACTTTTCCTTGTCCAGCCTTCTTTCCTCTCTGTGAGGTTCACGTCTTTGCTTCCAGAGATAAGTTCACTCATGTGTTTCTTTGTACCATGAATAATCTTGGATATGTCTATGTTGCTTAAAGTGATGAAGTTCCTCCTTACACTGAATATTTTCTATTACTTATGCATGTCTCAGTGTTTTTATCCATGACAGACAGGCTGGCTCTTCACTGTTGCTACTATAAACAAAGATTTATCCCAGTGTAGAATTGTAGATATTTTTCTTTCTTTCTTTTTTAAATATTTATTTATTTATTGTATGTATGTGAGTACTCAGTACACTGTCACTTTCTTCAGACATGTCAGAAGAGGGCATCGGATCCCATTACAGATGGTTGTGAGCCATCATGTGGTTGCTTGGAATTGAACTCATGACTTCTGGAAGAGCAGTCAGTGCTCTTAACCGCTGAGCCATCTCTCCAGCATGGTATTTCTTAAGAATGGTCACTTTCTTTCTTCCGGATAGACATTCAGAAAGAGGGTCATACTGTGGTTCTATTCTTAATTTTGTGAGGAACAAACTATCTTCCCCAGTTGCCATAAGGTACGACACAGGTATATCTACACATTTTTATACTGTTAATAGCTGCTTCTGTGCTACTAGCCAGAGCTGTGCACTGACAAATACGTTCTTGGCTTGCTTGCCTATTAACTGTACTACCCAGCATCCTGTATTGTTTAAAAAAGAAAAAGAATTGACTGTCTTCTACTTACACAAGTGTTGAAACTGAGGATGTAAATAGATACAATATTAAGTAATTAAAGAAAAATGTATCTCATTTTTTTGTAAATAGTTTTCAATGTATTTTGTTTTACCTGCCATTGCTGGGCTGCTGTGGAGACTGTGTGGAATGATCAGAGGGTTCAGAACGTTGATCAGGAGATCGTGACTGGCTGCGGCGGGGAGGCCTGTCATGTGAGCGACCTGAATGGTCTGATGCTAGTGACTGAATTTCTGAAATGTCTGTAAAATAAAAAGAAAATTATCCCATGAAATGACTAAGAATTCTAGTAATATTATACACAAGCTAATAGTATATTTCACATAAAATGATTAAAACGTTAATATCATCTCCAGAGAACACTAGAACTACAATAGTGAATGACCTATAAATTATTCATGTGTAGTGACAACAGATACAAACATACACACAAATGCACATGTAAACTTCAGATTTTTGAAGGTACATCTCCTGTAGAAAAGTATCATTCCACTCAAACCTATCCAATCCTCATATACATTAAGAAATAAATCAGTGGGATCCTCCAAACAGAACTCTACTCACCGTCTCTTTCAGAAGCATTAGCAGAATGGATACTATCCGTAAGATCGGGGACATTCAATAAGGTAGCCCGCTCGTCTCTTTGCACTACCATTTTTAACTTGCCTTTAGACCGTTCTATCAATGTTTTTGCATCTGTCAATGACATATTTTCTGTCACAGTACCATTTATCTGTAACAGAAAAGAAGCTATAGGTTGAAAAGGAAACAACAAAATACAAACTAAAACTTAAATCTGATCTGTTACAGGCAAGGACAAACTCCTCAGATCACTTGAAGACCTAAAACTTTTTCTTAAATTATCAAAAGCATTCCTATAAGCAAACTAGAGAGCATTTCAATAGTGTATAGAACAATTATCAAAATTATCGTGACGAGTAATATATATTTGTAGTAATTAATCCTCTCAGGTTAGCCCCATACCTCATAAGGGGCAGGACAAATGTTGATTATTCTCTATAGCAAAACTGCTTCAAACACAAGCAGATGTCACATAATAACTCTAAACTTTGTTTTCTATTTATTTTGTTTATTATAATATGAAATATAACTATACCTTCAAGACAACATCCCCTTCTTGAATGTTACCATCTCTTGCTGCCAAACTATCTTGTGAAATTTCCTTTACAAATATATGGCTGGCCAATCGAAGACCATATTCTGGAAGAATACAATTAAATATCTTTAGTTCAAAGTTCTAAGACAACTAAGTTCAGTTTAAATTATAAGACTTAAAATTACTGTCCTTATGCACCACTCTGTACCTAAAGCTATTATCTTTAAATCATTGAAAAGTATATAGTCAAGAAAAAGCAAAATAAAACATGGTTCAAAGAAATGACACTATCTTATTGTCCCCATCTCACTGAAAAGGAGACGGCCTACAAGATGTAACCATTTTTTTTCCTGATTATGTGATGACATACTAGCTTCTTGTAGTTTAAAGATCACAATTGTTAGAGTGAACTGCTTGAGGCTTAAAAAACTCTGAGGTCCGACAATGCTTTTGATGACAGCTATGAATCAATTATTAGTTTTATGTCCCCTCACTCTTAGGTGTGTACAAACCTCTACTGAACAAACTCAAAAGCTTTAGTACAGCCTAGTATTAACAGATGTGATGCTGGGCAGTGCTGGCACACACCTTTAATCCCAGCACTTGGGAAGCAGAGGCAGGAGGATTTCTAAGTTCGAGGCCACCCTGGTCTACAGAGTGAGTTTCAGGACAGCCAGGGCTACACAGAGAAACCCTGTCTCAAAAAACAAAACAAAAACAAAAAAAAAGGAAAGATTGGAAAGAGTCCTGCTATTAAAATGCTAAAACAACAACAACAAAGATGTAAGAATTAAAATACAGTGTTCTCATTTATGCAACCTACAAAATATCCATGAAATGGTAATTTTATCTGTGGGTGCGTAAAGGGTTAAAGAAATGACAAAAGATTAAAAAACAAAACTGCAAGCCAGTTGTGGTACAGCACACACATGATGCTCACACTCATTGGCTGAAACAGGACAGGACTGTGTAGACCATACAGTGAAGACTATCTCAGTAAGACAGACAAAGCAAAAGCTGTAACTATCAGTCCTGTGTCAACAGAAAAAGAAACGTTCTTGATCTGTGAAAAGAAAAAGAAAGGAGGACTTTCACTGTTTTAAAAGAAACAAAATTCAAGAAAAACACAAACTTAGAAGCCAAGATGAACAAACAGGTTTTAATGTAGGATAAAATGAAGCCTGCAGTACAGGAGTCTTAATGTCCCATCTCAGTTACAGATTAACCTAAGGTAAATATGCAAAGAATATACACAGAAGCAGAACTAGTACCAGAGTAGAATTGGGAAATCCAGACAGGCAATGTTAACTGTTTTGAAAACAGCAATTTCATCTAGAAAAATACAGGACTAAGGACATATTCGTATTCACAATAAAAGGTTACAACTGAGCTGGGCGATGGTGGTGCATTGTTTAACCCCAGCACCTGTGTGTGTGTGTGTGTGTGTGTGTGTGTGTGTGTGTGTGTGTTTGTGCGCGCACGAGAAAGAGAGAGAGAGAGAGAGAGAGAGAGAGAGAGACAGAGAGACAGAGAGACAGAGAGACAGAGACAGAGACAGAGAGATTGCATGTGTTACAAAAGTCTGGATGCCTAACTTTAGTCCAGCACCTGAGAGGCAGAGGCAGACAGTTGAACCTCTGTGAGTCCAAGGCCAGCCTGGTCTACATAGTGGTACAGGACAGCCAGAGCTATACAATGAGACCCAGTCTCAAGACAACAAAAGACTATAAATATCAATATACAGATATAACCAAAATTTTCCTGGCATATCAGTTTATTCCTTTATCCCAGGTAGTTCTTTGGGTACATAGTAACTATGTACAAGCACTACAAATTAAAGAAACAGATCAGATAGTCTCTGTACCTTGGCACTTACATAGCAAAGCAAAAGATGTTACCATAGTAATTTACTAGTGCAAGGAAGTACTAATGCATGGTAGTTTACTAGTGCAAACATGGGATCAAATATGCATTTCTATCAGGGCCAGAGAAGGCCTTTATAAGAGAGAAATACCAAAGCTAAGACTTCACCTAAGAAACACTAAAACTAAACCTGAATGAAGAGTGTGTCATGTGCACGAGGCTGGGGGTATTCAAAACAAGTACACCAAAAGGATGAAGGAAAGAACATGACAGGGGTGATGAAGTCCTAAATCTAGGATAACTGACACTGATACAAACACAAATAGAAGCAAGTAAGATGGAAGCTTTAGAAAACCGGCTACAGAGTTCAGTGGAAGGGACAGACCCTGAGATCAGTCACAACACTGACAAAGTCCACTGAAGACACAGACAGCAGCAGCCTGGAAAAGAAGAGCAGTGGAGAAAGACAGAAGTGAGACAGATACGGTGGTATGTTGGGAGTTAGGATATGTTCATCACACAAGAGATGTCAACAAGGAAAATCATCTATACTTACCTGACTGAGAAACTGGATTGACAGGAATATAGTGGAAAAAAAATTCATTTGAAGCACAAAGGGAAAAACAAAAACAAAAAAACAAAAAACAAGAATAAACTGTGATTCCCTTGAGGTGTGGTGATTCCTGTCTAAGCTGGGCACAGAGTGGACTGGTGTAGACTAGAGAAGTGGTGACCTAAGCAGTGCAGTGAGGTCCCCAGGATGTGTGAGGCTGACTACACAAGGCAGCAGGAAGTGTAAGCAAAGTTCCTGGACAGAAGAAACTAGAGCATTAAAGGGTAGAAGGATGGAAATGAAAAGAAGTGAGGACCTCAGAAAGACGAGAATTACAAGTGTCCAAAGAAGACACTGTTCTAACAGTTAGGTGAGCTGTGAAGCAGTGCTACACAGGCTTGGATCGCCTATGAATGGCTCTGGGCTGGAAGGCAGGCACTAGTGGAGCAGAAGTGTCGTCCAAGTGTGAGGGAAGAAGCACCATCAAGAGCAAGCTGCCCCTGGGCAAGGAATGTCAATGACAGGATGGTGAGCAGGTTAGCTCATCAAAGTTCACCTTCAAAACACTTTCTTCACCATTTTTAAAACCAAAGCCATGAGCCCTACATAACCACAAGCCAGAGGGATCAAAGAGCCATTTAAAAAGCTAACCATTTGGTGAAGCAAGAGAGTAGTTAGAGAATTCAGTTTAAGAACATCAATCTTCCATTTACAAATTAGCCCATCTCTCCCCTCCAAGTAAGCCCTTAGATTTATTTCCATGGTCATACTACAGTAAAGAAAACAGTAAAGAAAAACACAGCATTTCAATTGAGTGCTGGTGAGACATTTCTTGCTAGCATAATTTGAATTTGGCTGTTCCTGTTCCAATAAAACCAAAATTCAACTAGAAGTTTGCTCCAACAAATGATTTGAGAAAATGTTCCAAAATGTCCCAATGTCTGCCTTACCAGGATTAGACTCTTAGCAAGAGAACATGACTAGAAATGGAAATGGAATAAAACAAATATGGTCACTGTATTTCTTATTAAACTAGCTTTAAAAGTCTCACGTGAGCACAGTGAGAGTCAGTGATACCTTCATTTTTCCGAGACTTCACCAATGTGACCTTGGTGGGCTTGGCGGGCTGACTGGAGGCCACCGACCGCCTGTCTGAGCGAGGGGACAGGCTCCTCTCCCTGCTTGCACTTCTATCCCTCGCCCAGCTCTTCTCGCTCCTTCTGTTAACTACAGCACCGCGGCCACTCCTTGGATCATGTACTTCATCGTCGTAACTGTCCTCTTCATTATCAGATACCGGCTCAGGATCTGGATGACTTACAGGGATCTGAACTTTCTTCTTCCTTCGGATGGTCTACAAAAAGAGATAATAAACTAAATGGTACTCATGTACTCTCCACTCATAAGAGAAACATACATTTCCCTTGACTTATATTAACTTACGTAAATACAAAGGAGATAATATAGTAATCACATCAACACATTTCCAAAATGGCTGTTTTCTACTCTCTTAACAAAAGATCTGGCCGGGCGGTGGTGGCACACGCCTTTAATCCCAGCACTTGGGAGGCAGAGGCAGGCGGATTTCTGAGTTCGAGGCCAGCCTGGTCTACAGAGTGAGTTCCAGGACAGCCAGGGCTACACAGAGAAAACCTGTCTCGAAAAACCAAAATAAAATAAAATAAAATAAAATAAAAAAATAAAAGATCTGGCTAAACAGTTAATTAACTAAATTCTTCCAGAATTTTGTAATAATTTTCCAGGTGGTAAGAATCACAAACTTATAGGGAATACTTGTTGTGTGTAAAATGAAGGATTTGAACTATACTCTAAACATATCACATATCTTATGAACACACTGCAACCAAAATCACAACAAACTCACAAGCCTGACCTCATACCCTAATCAAAATAATAATGCATCATTATCAAGATCTGTAATTGTCCCAACATACTGCTAAGTGATACATTTCTTTATTACAAACTAATGCACAATTTACTTGGCGGGAGCTCATGAGCTCAGCATACTTCCCCACAAACTGCCTTGTGTTTCTGTGTTGGTTCAACTTATAACTTCCAGCGTGAGTGCAAGCTCATTCTTGCATTCACTGTCAGTGTTCCCTGTCAACTCATGTCTTTGTTTCTAAGTTCCAGATCTATATGCATCTCCTGAATGTGCAGTTCTGTAATCCTGGAAACCACTGGCTCTCTCACACTGGCACACTGGGTCTCCTGGGGGCCTATGAGAGCTTCTTGGGAAACACTTGTCTTCTTCTGACACCTTTAGCCACTCACACTTTTTGCTCACTTCTGATTTCTCCATTTGCTTCTGTTTTCTCAGGGCTTCACTTGCAATCAAATGTAAATGACTTTCTACCGGCTTCTTTCCCTCATCTCACAGTGTTTTGACACAAAAAAAGATACTGTTTATTGATTAACCCATCTATAAACTCATTAGTACCACTAGGAGCATTCTGCTGCTATTCAGCAATCCTTTCATCTGCATCTTGTTCCCTCGAAATGAACTGCCTAACACAGGTTTTTTTCATCATTCAAGAAGGTACTGGTTCCTCGGCCTACTTTAGTCAGTGTCCTTTTAGACCAACCCACTTCTGAAATCCCTTCTATGTGACTCATTTATTTAACACTTCTTTCTTGTGCTCTCAGAGATCAAGTGGATCAGCTCTGTTATGTGAATAAAACCTCACCATTGGGTTGTGTTCTCAATGACACCCACTTCCAAGAGGTTTCCTTGTCGGTTACCATCCTGTGTGATGTGTAGCTTTAATCTTTAATCTCTCCCATATTACTTCAAATCTGCTCCACCCGATAAATGCCTAATAATCTTGTCTTGTCCGTTCCTTCCAAGTTATATTTCTTTCATGGCTAAATATCTTCTAAGGCTGAGTCAACACTAAACACTGCTACTTCCTATTATCCAAATTAGCCAAAGTGGGTCTTTTGGTGAGAACAAACAAACAAACAATGTTTGAAGTTGGAGGACAAGTAGCAGGAGAAACCAGCATGTGGGAAAGACAAGCCCTGTGCTGCTAAGAAAAGAGAAAGGACAGCTACTTTCTTCCCTCCCTGTCTGTCTAGCCTCTACTTCAATCTGCAGTGTGTTATACCAGAAGTCTGTATTGCATAAACTGGGCATAATAGTGCTTCCTGGAATCTCAGACTCTGCCTTTTAGACAGTAACTTGAAATGCATCCTGAATAACTCTTTTTAGACAATCTTGGCGGCTTCTCTCTTCTTAAGACATCAGAGTTAGCTGGGCAGTGGTGGCGCACGCCTTTGATCCCAGCACTTGGGAGGCAGAGGCAGGTGGATTTCTGAGTTCGAGACCAGCCTGGTCTACAGAGTGAGTTCTAGGACAGCCAGGGCTACACAGAGAAAAGCCCCCGCCCCCAAAAGACATCAGAGTTAACAAGGGTGGTAAATGGTATGGGGTCAGAGAAGGAAGGTAAAGTGCTCCCTGTAAACAAAGCTTAGATCAGAAAGGAGGGCCACAGGCACTTTTACATGACTTGTCCAGATCCAGGATAACATAAGTACATAAAAGAGACAGCAACATTAAGCCATGAGACTCCACCCCCTCTCCTTTTATAAATGACAACTTCTCTCTGAACTTAGATAAGGTACTTAGCATAGAAGAGTAAGAAGCACTCACATTCATCAACAACTGACTTTGGAACTGACTTAAGGTGTCCCACACCTTTAATCCCAGCACCTGGGAGGCAGAGGCAGAAGGATCTGTGTGAATGTAGACCATCCTGGTCTACAGAGTTCTAGGACAGCCAAGACTACCCTGAGAGACATTTTCTGAAAACAAAGAAAAGGAGATTAAAAAGGGGGGAGGGGGAAATCAAATACCAAACAAGTATCAAGAGTAGTTGGTACTTCTACTAAATTGAACATAAAAGATACTCACAATTTTTGCGTTTTTCCCACTTTTCCTTAGCTGCTGAACAGCAAAAGCATGCTCAACATTATCCATTGAAACTCCATTAACCATTGCAACTCGGTCATTTTCCCTAAAAAGAGAGGGAAAACACCAGAAAAACATGTTAAAAGAAAAGCACATAAGATCTTCGAAAGTCTTCATTGAATGACAGGTTAATTAATCTGCTTGTCTTTAAAACAATGATAAAACAGCATCAGCTTTAACTGTCGGGCCCTTCAAGAGAGCATTCAGCAGGTTAACTAACTCCATGACAGCAGCTCCTTTTCCTTTTGGAAACTGCCTGAACAGAACAGGCTCTACAACAAAGAGAAAGATCACTCGTAGCTAGCTGGATTAGAACACTAGATGAGACTAAGTCACCCAACTAACAGAGATATTGTCATTAAACATTAAGTATTTCTCTTATTAAATGTCTTTGAATTCTTCTGATTATAGTCTCAATTTTTCCTTCCTGCCCTTCTTATCATCTGTACTGCACTAATCTCCTTAGTATACAGAAAGGGCAGACTTTCCTGTGAGGAGTTCTCAAAAGCTAGTCCCACATAAACTAGTTACAAGATCTCCTTCTCTCCCCCTCTCCCCCTCTCCCC